TGAGACGAGAGATCTTTGAGGGTGCGGCGGCTGGACCCCCTGGCATAGCCTGGCTAAACCTTTTGAGACTCGCCGAAGGGCTTCCTCGCTTGCCGGTCATTGGGCGAGGAGTTAAAACCGCCGTCGCCCAAATCCGGCAATGTTCTCACTTTAGCTGCTTTAAACAAAATCATCCCGTGCCGGTGTGCCCGTTAGTTAAATATTAAGGCAGGGCGGGCGGGGTGGACTCACTTTTATTGGCAATGCATTATCGGTGCCAAGTCGAGACGAAGTCCCTGGAAGCAATTTACGCGCAAACTAGGCGACGCGAATCGGACTCGCACGACGCGAGCCTCGCCGTACGCGGGGCAAGGAGAATCGTGCGCGTTGAGCGCCTTCAGCTCTGCCGATCCGATGAGAGCAGACCACCCCGCCAGACCACACACACGTCACACGTCACCACGTGGTGACGTGCAACGGACAGCACTCGCACGGTTGTCACACAAAAAAAAATCATTCACGACAAACAACATTTTTTTGTAAGTTACTCTGCGCCTCGCGAAAATCAAAACCGGTGTGGATTGGGAAAAAAAAAACGAACGTCCTAAGATCGGAACGACAACGCGAGCGGCCAACTCACGAGCGGCCAACTCACGAGCGGCCAACTCACGAGCGGCCAACTCGCGAGTGGCCAACTCACGAGCGGCCAACTCGCGAGCGGCCAACTCGCGAGCGGCCAACTCACGAGCGGCCAACTCGCGAGCGGCCAACTCGCGTGCGCCCAAATCCGAGGCGCGGTGCACGGTGGGCGATGTAACGGCTGCTGCCCACCCGTGCCCCATTCAACAACAACACCCAGAGCCCTGCGTCGTGTTACTGTGGGCGCGGAACGGGTCCTAGTGCAGCAGGGCCCGCACCGGTCACGTGAACTTAAGGTCCATGAACAGCAGCAGTCTTGAGGGTAAACGAATCGCCCTTCGGCCCCTGAGGTGTGGTGGATCAGGGGTTGATCACTGTCAGTCCTGACCACAATCTGTTCTGACAGTGACAAGGACTACAACAAGCCGGCACACGCACTTCCCCCCCCCACCCACCCTCCTTGGCTATGCGAGCCTGAAGGCAGTACGTTAATGGACACCCGTTGATTTGGGATGGCAGTCGCCAAACGCGGCAGCGGGCTCACGTCGAATTGTGTGTGACGCTCCTCGGTTGACGCCACACACGAGCGCGCGTAATTCCGTCACCAAGGCGCAGGAGCTGCCGCAAACACTGAACAAGGCCTCCCCGCAAGACACGGTTGGTCTCCTCGACCGAAGTGGTTTGCCCTCCCAAAAAGTCTCCTCCGAATGCCGAGGAGTCCGTGGGTGCCAAGGCACCGAGTGCGAGTGTCGGGCCGCATCCCTTTCTCGTCACGTACACATTTAGACTCGGAGTGAAAACTAATTAAATAAACACTGAAGCACCAACAAAGGTTGGAAATAAATACATTTTTACCGAACACAAATCACCCCTCCTCGTCACCTCACATACTGACAAAGTCGCATGACGATCACATCCCTTCTTTTGGACTCGCGCTGGTTTTCATTTCAATGTATTTCAATTTAAGTGCTGTTCACAAAAATAACGGTTCACACTTTCCCTGGAACGCTTAATACATGTAGCCTTATAGATCTAACGCACTCCAATTCACCTGTCCCTCTCCGTACTCTACGGTACGATAGCATTTTCCCGGTGATGCGGTAACTGTTCCTAGCTCCGTGCGCTCTGATAACATTAATACGAGCATCTGTCATTCCTCTTCTCTCAACACCTCTGCAGTAATTCCACACCTCGTTGCTCGCAAAACACCCCAGCGATCCCCGCCGAGTGTTGCGACTCTTCCTGTTCAATAGCCGTCTCCAAACAGCTACGCAAACCTCCCTTCATGAACCCTCTGGAATTGACGCTCTGATGTTCATCTCTTTGCTACCACATATTCCATCTCTCCACCTCTGCGTCTGCCAATGAGTCCTATCCTGTGTGAATCTGTCTACGTTATCGCCGTTGCTCTGTCAAACTTTCCCAAGTAACAATCCCAAGTACCTTTCATGGCAGAGGAAAGCGATGTGATGAGAGATTGTAGACGCGTGTTGTAGACTTAGGCAAGTGTACGATTCTGTTTTGGTAATGTCTAGGATCACAGCCGGGCCCAATTTCTCAGACCCTGCTTAGGCTGGCTTGGATTCAGGATAATTGGCATAATGTAGTGCCCACTATAGTACAACATTTGCCTATCATTAATACTTCTATACGATTCTACCATATTTTCCGATAATCTCACGAACAGGTTTTTTTAAAGGAAAAATAAGGTGAGACGGATGTGGCGTGGCCAAAATAATTCTCAGAACAGCGTTCTGGCCTGATCCAATTGAAGTCAATCACTTGGTCTAGGAGTGGACCTTCTAGATTGAAATAACATTCCAGGCAAGATAATCTGATCACTTAAGAGCCCTGCACGATGGGATTTGCACCTTTATATACTTAAGATACATTCCTACTGAGTTTGATTAAAGAGCAGATGCCCACAGCAGGGGTTGGGGAGGGTCACGAACTTTCCTCACTGCCATGCTCAACTCTGCATGAGTAGAAAGACCACAACACCTGGAGTGTGTGGCTGACACATGTTTGTTCATTAGGACATTGGCAGATGCCCTACGACAACATCTCCTGGCACTTTTATGTAGAGCAATTGTTATGGTTGCCAAGCGTGGACACTTCTTGATTCCAGAGACGGTGACAAGACGACGGCTCGCATTTGAGGTGGGATTCCTCCGAAGATCGCCACGTCTACCGCACACTGCTCAACGCGCAAACAAATCCATTCCACGCGTGTTCAATCCATTCTGGGTGAAATCGCAGAACGGTTGGCACACCACGAACCCGCCGTGGGGCATAGCGAAGCAACGGACACGTGACAAAAAACCACACGTGGTCAACATCGTCCCGCGGGACGCGGTAGAAGGACGACCCAAGATCAATTGGATGACAAATGCGATGACGCGGACAGATAAGCCAGCACGGCACATGACGACAAAAGACAGCGAGGGATTGGTGAGAGCGTGGAGACCACTTGTATACCAAGTGAGGTAGTAAGCGTTTTCACCACAGGGTGCCAATAAGGAGCAAGAATGTGGAGCTAATAGCGAACCGTTTGGATTTGGCAAGTAATGTGCAATAATCTATGGGGGTTGTCCGAAGGCCAAGGCGTGGCATGAGCAGGGTGCGTTTTTGATTAAATACACATTACACTTTGGAAGCGTACAGATGTGAACATTAGCTGTAGGAGCTGAGTGTTTGAGGCAGGAGCAAGATCTGTGTTATTCAACAGGCCAGCTGTAGACGAACGGCGAGCAGTGAAGGTTCTTCATTGTAGGTGGCAGTGGAGGGCGATTTTAATCCCTTGACAGGAGACAGAGTAAGCATCTTCAACGTTCAGTATAGAATCTGGCAGAAAGAAACAAAGACATCGCCGTATAATCAGGAAGAGAATGATGCCAGGAACAGAGCGCATGTTGCAGGATAGGGGAGGTCAGATAACCGACGGAGGCATCGATCTAGAGGCATCTCAGAAGTTGCAAGGGGATGGATGGTAGGGACAGCGCCAGAGTGGATCTGAAATATCCGATGCCTACTTTGCAAAGAGTGTGGGAGCTGTAAAAGAAGTGATTGCAAAGTGTGGTATCATGAACAGCATAATCTCTTGATATTTAGGATACAAAAAATATAATTGGTTCTCTACAAAATAAAATCGCAACTCAATCTCAAGCTACATCTGCCATCAAGAGTCAATAAAACAAATACGGCCAAACTTTCTGACCCTTATGAGTCGCATTCCCAAACGCACGACTTTATATATATATACGTGGGGTGGTCACACGTGGGGGTGGTTCGTCACACGTTCCGTTCGCGCGCGACGATTGGCTGTGGAGTTATGGATTTAGAAATCGTCGTCAGCGCTCCCTCCGGGAGTACTCGCGTGTCTGACTCCGCAGCCACGGGGCTAGTGTCCCCGGGTACGCTCCTGCTTCCGCGCATTTTTTTCTAACCCCCACCCCCGTTATAAATAAAGTTGCGCCGCGAAGGTAGATATCAGGTGTGTCGCTACGGAGCCACACATCGCGAGCCACACACGGCTCAGCCTACGATATTCTCCCTCGCTGCCCACGGCGCGCCACCCTCATATGGGCTCCGTGGGTTGTCGCTTCCCTGCTTCTGTGCGGAAAGAAGTCGAGCAATAAGCGATGCCAAAATCTGGCATTGATAATGTCGAACCATCCTGAATGTGTGGACTCCTCACAATCTACAGGGCGTCCGTTAAAAAAAAGACATCGTCCGCAATTAAAGAATAGATAATTCGACGGCAGCTACAACCGCACGGCTCAAAGTGTTGGCAACACGCATCCTCTTCGCTTAGTTTGTTTCAAGCTGAAGAGATGAGAGTAAATCTTCAGCGGCACACTGTGTAAGAATACGAAACAATCATATCCCACGACGCTGGGCAAAAACAACCGGGACTTTCTAAACTAGATTCCCGCTCATGGCAAACACCGGTGACGATTATCTGAACCGGTCATCCTGGGCCTCCCCCTAGGTTGACTCGGCCTCAAATGAGTACCCAGTGCGGTGTGCAACACATCGGCACCGGGGAGACAAAGGCGGCCGTGCGTGGTTGCTGGCCACCCGCCATGCCTCGTGCGCCGTGCGGGCCTTCACAAGTGCTACTCTCTGACAGCAACTTGCTCCAACGGTCAGTTCAAGGCTAGACGGGGGATTTTTGTCTTTGTAGTTTTGAGTCCAACCGCTGTCTAATTCGAATTATTTGTTTAACAACGGATGAGACCTTTCATGAACAACACACATAGACAAGCGACACGGCCACAGGGTCGCGTCAATAATCCATGCCGAACGAAATTCCTTTCCGGCACGCGCGCTTCGCGGAATCGCTTCGAGCGTAGACCTCTAAAGCATGGTGGGGGGGGGGGGGGGGGGGGGGGAGTGAAACGGGGTGGGGGGAGCGTCTACGAAGGAGTCCAGGCTGCGCGGTGCCAGTGGTCCTGGGCACGCCCGGGAGGGCACGGCTGCGCGCCGCATTGCTGCCGCTCCATCGGCCGCTCCAGCACCTCGCAGCTCTGCTCGGCCAGGGGCTGCCCGCTCGGGAGCTGGCACAGCACGGCCCGCGAGCGCGTCCCTCCGCCGCAGGTCTTCGTGCACTGCACGCAAGAGCCGGGGTGGGTGGGCGGGGGGGTCACGACGGTCAGCTTTGGGGGAGGGGCGGGGAAACAAATGAAGGGGTCAAGGTGTAGAGACAGAATCGTCTTTCTCACGCCGATGTCGGCACAGCGGCCTCCGCCAGGGGGAACTATGGGGGGGGTGGGTGGGGGGTGCAGTTACGGGGCTGCCGAGCACTGACGCACCTCGCCCCAGGATCCGTAGTTCCACTCGGGGCAGGGCCCCGCGTCGCACGCCTGCGTCTCGGAGGGCCGGTGCCGTTCCTCGCAGTGGTAGTCGGCGTAGCCGTTCTCGTCCTGGCACACCACCACCCGCCTGTGGATCCCACCTGCGCACGTGCTGGAGCACTGATGGGGACGATGGGGACGACGACGATGGTGATGAAGGTGATTACGATGACGATGAGTTCGAATGGGCCAACGAAGAGCAACGATTAGAGATTCAGTTCTCGGTGAAGTAGCCAATCGGTGGCTCTGTCCGAGGGATGGGGTGGCAGGTGATGGCCATCTCGAGGCCCACCCCATCACGCTTGATAGTCACAATGGTGGCGCCTGAATATCGATTATCGGCCTCCCGGAAATGCAAAGCACCAGTTTGGGTTTTTTCATTGCTTAGAAACGCCCACTCCGCCACTAAATTAGTTTTACAAAGTTAGGTTTAAAAAATAAAATGGGAACGGGTGAGTGAGATAATGGGTAAAAGGAAATACGAACAAATGTGAGTTAAATTTTGATTTAAAGCTTTCGTGACTGCAGTAATTCATATTCTTAGTTTTTTCGGTAAAGTCACGTTGAAGAGAAACAACAAAATAACAAAATATATATAAAACAATAAAAATTCTCACGACGTTTCGACCATAACTCAAACGGTCATCATCAGGTGTGTCGGTTTGCATAAATTTATTTTGAAAATGGCATATTTATTTATTTATATATATAAAAAAATAACGTTTGCGTCACGCGCAACGATTGGCAGTTTGCCAGGACTAGTCCATCTATTTTTTGAAAAGAGGAGGGGGGAGACGAAATTTGTTTTTATGTATGCTGTCTGAAAGCCACTGTAAGCGTGAACAATCAATCAAGAACTGAAATGATTTATCAAATCTTTCCAATGATTGCTAAGATAGAATCCATCTTCTCGGTTGAAATTGTCTCTGTGTTTGTATATGTGGATAGCCTCATGAACGAATCTCTCATGGAAGCCAGATGGCTTACAAAGAACCTCCGTCTTGGAAAAGTCAATGGCATGTGAGCCTACTGAATTAGAACAATGATCTGCTACGGCCGAGGTGTTGGTCCTACCGTGTTTAAGGTCTGCTTTATGTTCACGAATGCGGTCCGAGATATGGCGTTTGGTTTCTCCAATGTAACTACTACCACAGAGGCAACTTAGTTTGTAGACACCAGGGTATTGTATGTCCGGAATCACATCTTTTACAGACAGAACCAGATCACGGATTTTATGTAATGTGTTGAAACGGACCTGGATCTTGTGTTTATTCAAGATCTTGGAGATCTTTTTTTTTTGTGATCCCAGCAATGTAGGGTAAAGTGATGGTTTTGAAAGGCTCCTCAAGAGGGTTCTTCTTCATGGTTTGAGTGATAGCTTTGCGGATTGTATAGTCGGAGTAACCATTAGCCCTAAGAGCTTGGTGTACGTGCTTGAGTTCACTGCTTATGTGTTCCTGGTCGGATATGCATTGGGCTCTATGATATAGAGTCTTGATGAGAGAATTCTTCTGTGATGGATGGTGGTGGGAATCCGGTTTCAGATAAGCATCCGTATGGGTAGCTTTCCTGTAGACAGAGTGGCTCATTGAACCATCAGGTCTCTTTTTAATTAGGACATCCAAAAAAGGTATCTTGCCATCTATTTCGACTTCCATGGTAAATCTGATGGCTGGGTGTATGGAATTGATGTGGTCGAAGAATTGGTCTAGAGCAGGCCGGCCATGTGGCCAGATGACAAAAGTGTCATCCACGTACCTCTTCCATAAGGTTGGGCGCAGAGTGGCAGTCTGGATGGCGTCAGTCTCAAATTTCTCCATGAAAATGTTAGCTATAACTGGAGAAAGGGGGGAGCCCATTGGGGTGCCCTCAGTTTGTTTGTAGAAAGTTCCATTCCAAGTGAAGTATGTATTGGTTAAACAGTGTCTCACCAGGGGGGGTACCTCAGTGTTTAGTCCTTGATGAACCAAGTCTTCAATGATTGCAATGGTGTCAGGTACAGGAACCTTGGTGAATAAGGAAACTACATCAAAACTGACAAGCAGGTCGTCTGGGGACAGGGAAATACCCTTGATTGTTGATACCAGGTGAGTAGAATTTTGTACCGCAGAGGTGGTCTTTCCAGTGAAAGTACGCAGGATTTCAGACAAAAAACGAGCTAGTTTGTAGGTGGGGGAGCTGATAGTAGAGACTATGGGACGAAGAGGTGTATCAACTTTATGTATTTTTGGTAAGCCGTATAATCTTGGTGGCCTGGCAGCAGAAGGTTTCAACGAAAACTGTTTAGATTGATCAATTAATGCGGTTGAATCAGAAATTATTTTGTTGGTTTGTGTGACGAGGCTGTTGGTGGGATCTCTTTTTATTTTTGTATAACTACCATCGTCGAGTAATTCTTTAATTTTGTTGTTGTATTCTATTTTATCCATGATGACAGTAGCATTGCCTTTGTCAGCTGAGAGAACTACAATATCATTCTTCTTTTTTAATTTATATAATTCAAAACGCTCATCTTTGCTGAGGTTGCTAGCTGGCATCTTAGCGTTTTTGAGGGTTGCAGCGATTTCAGATCTTGCTACGTCTGCAGCGATGTGACCCAGGCCCCTGAGAGCAACGTCTACTTGGGCAATTATATCATTAACTGGTATGTGTTTAGGTGTGACTGCAAAGTTTAGACCTTTAGCTAAAACGGATTTCAGACCATCGGAAATAGAACTGTTACTGCGATTAATTACGACTTTATTAACGTCTAACTTTTTGGTGTGTGGGTCCGGTCTTTTGTTGAAGAGGAGGTTAAATTTGGAAATTAATCGCAGTAACAGTTCTATTTCCGATGGTCTGAAATCCGTTTTAGCTAAAGGTCTAAACTTTGCAGTCACACCTAAACACATACCAGTTAATGATATAATTGCCCAAGTAGACGTTGCTCTCAGGGGCCTGGGTCACATCGCTGCAGACGTAGCAAGATCTGAAATCGCTGCAACCCTCAAAAACGCTAAGATGCCAGCTAGCAACCTCAGCAAAGATGAGCGTTTTGAATTATATAAATTAAAAAAGAGGAATGATATTGTAGTTCTCTCAGCTGACAAAGGCAATGCTACTGTCATCATGGATAAAATAGAATACAACAACAAAATTAAAGAATTACTCGACGATGGTAGTTATACAAAAATAAAAGAGATCCCACCAACAGCCTCGTCACACAAACCAACAAAATAATTTCTGATTCAACCGCATTAATTGATCAATCTAAACAGTTTTCGTTGAAACCTTCTGCTGCCAGGCCACCAAGATTATACGGCTTACCAAAAATACGTAAAGTTGATACACCTCTTCGTCCCATAGTCTCTACTATCAGCTCCCCCACCTACAAACTAGCTCGTTTTTTGTCTGAAATCCTGCGTCCTTTCACTGGAAAGACCACCTCTGCGGTACAAAATTCTACTCACCTGGTATCAACAATCAAGGGTATTTCCCTGTCCCCAGACGACCTGCTTGTCAGTTTTGATGTAGTTTCCTTATTCACCAAGGTTCCTGTACCTGACACCATTGCAATCATTGAAGACTTGGTTCATCAAGGGCTAAACACTGAGGTACCCCCCCTGGTGAGACACTGTTTAACCAATACATACTTCACTTGGAATGGAACTTTCTACAAACAAACTGAGGGCACCCCAATGGGCTCCCCCCTTTCTCCAGTTATAGCTAACATTTTCATGGAGAAATTTGAGACTGACGCCATCCAGACTGCCACTCTGCGCCCAACCTTATGGAAGAGGTACGTGGATGACACTTTTGTCATCTGGCCACATGGCCGGCCTGCTCTAGACCAATTCTTCGACCACATCAATTCCATACACCCAGCCATCAGATTTACCATGGAAGTCGAAATAGATGGCAAGATACCTTTTTTGGATGTCCTAATTAAAAAGAGACCTGATGGTTCAATGAGCCACTCTGTCTACAGGAAAGCTACCCATACGGATGCTTATCTGAAACCGGATTCCCACCACCATCCATCACAGAAGAATTCTCTCATCAAGACTCTATATCATAGAGCCCAATGCATATCCGACCAGGAACACATAAGCAGTGAACTCAAGCACGTACACCAAGCTCTTAGGGCTAATGGTTACTCCGACTATACAATCCGCAAAGCTATCACTCAAACCATGAAGAAGAACCCTCTTGAGGAGCCTTTCAAAACCATCACTTTACCCTACATTGCTGGGATCACAAAAAAAAAAGATCTCCAAGATCTTGAATAAACACAAGATCCAGGTCCGTTTCAACACATTACATAAAATCCGTGATCTGGTTCCGTCTGTAAAAGATGTGATTCCGGACATACAATACCCTGGTGTCTACAAACTAAGTTGCCTCTGTGGTAGTACTTAAATTGGAGAAACCAAACGCCATATCTCGGACCGCATTCGTGAACATAAAGCAGACCTTAAACACGGTAGGACCAACACCTCGGCCGTAGCAGATCATTGTTCTAATTCAGTAGGCTCACATGCCATTGACTTTTCCAAGACGGAGGTTCTTTGTAAGCCATCTGGCTTCCATGAGAGATTCGTTCATGAGGCTATCCACATATACAAACACAGAGACAATTTCAACCGAGAAGATGGATTCTATCTTAGCAATCATTGGAAAGATTTGATAAATCATTTCAGTTCTTGATTGATTGTTCACGCTTACAGTGGCTTTCAGACAGCATACATAAAAACAAATTTCGTCTCCCCCCTCCTCTTTTCAAAAAATAGATGGACTAGTCCTGGCAAACTGCCAATCGTTGCGCGTGACGCAAACGTTATTTTTTTTATATATAAATAAATAAATATGCCATTTTCAAAATAAATTTATGCAAACCGACACACCTGATGATGACCGTTTCAGTTATGGTCGAAACGTCGTGAGAATTTTTATTGTTTTATATATATTTTGTTATTTTGTTGTTTCTCTTCAACGTGACTTTACCGAAAAAACTAAGAAAATGTGAGTTAACCCTGACGAGGACAGAGCCTGCTATGATTGAGCCTCCTGCTGCTGAATTGCATCCTGGGCCTCCTAGAGAGTACATAGAGGGGCATCTCTCGAGTGGAATGCCCACTTAGGTGCACAAAGCCATGGGGGCGGAGAGCGGCGGCACCGAGCTCTGAACACGGTCAGCCGAGTTCGATTCCTGACCACGTACATAAAATAGCAATTTGACGAGACGGAGTGGAAATAGAACGGTTCTCCCTATGTGAAACCAGCAACCTCGGTTCAATCCGAGGTGACAGCCAACGTCAGTCGGTGTCAGAACTGGTCCTGCGCTCCTCACCCCCCCTTAGCAACCCACACCGATCGACACGGTGACCTATTGGCAACGTCGATCACCTGCGTACGCTCTCGAATTCCACGCGTTCCTCGTTGCGGTCTCTCGGTGTCACTTTAAGCAATGCACCCCTCCGTGCACCTCCCGGCTCTTTGTTCCACGTCTTTTTGTTAATCTGTCAACGGCCGTGCCTTCTGCGCCGTACTTCGTTAGTAAATCTTACCGCGCCCCAGGGACCCGTCCTCCACTGCCGTCCCCCCCCACGCGAGGAGGAGGGCATCGCGCCCTTAACGAGAGAGTAGTCCCTCTGCGGGCCGTAGCCCGGGAAGGGCCGCGGCTCCAGCGGGCCCGGCGGCCGGGCCTCCGTGCCGGGAGCCGGGTAGCCGTGCCGCGCCACGGGGCACGGCGGGCCCGAGCACTCCCGCTCCGTGGGCGGGCGCTCGCCGTCGTCGCACTCCGACTCGTCGAGCAGCTGCAGAGCGTGGCTGATGCACAGCACTTGGCGTGTGACGCGGCCCAGCCCGCACGGCACGGGGCACTGCTCGCACGCGCACGCATGCACACGCACACGGTGCCTTACTCGCAGGTCAGGCGAGCGGCATGGTACCTGCTCCGTCGAAGTATTTCCAGGGTATTCAACGAGTCACCAGTTCACCGATTCACCAGTTCACCGATCGGAATCTTGAGACATTGTTAAAGGCGAATTCTTCTTCTTATTCTCTAAAATTCATGATGCTCCCAATAAAAGTAAAAGATGCGGTCCTACAGTTGCCCATCCACGCCACTGGAGAGAGCTATAGAGTGGTATTCAGCCCACTTTCTACGTTGCCCCAGATGATGTTGGAAAAGTGGGGAATACCCACACTTTTCCCCACCACACACAACCTGCTGATGGACAATACTGTGGTGGAACACACTGAGCATGTTAACTGGGTAGAGAGAGGCAGTGGGGGGTCGGGGGTAGGGATTTTAAGAAACTTGTGCCATCGTTTCAACTACTGCTTCGTATTTTAAGGAGTTGGACCGGCGGTCCTCTGGATCGCCAGTACAGTTTGCGGACCACTGCACCACAGCAGCTCTCTGCTCACCGCAACATGCAACGAACTGTGCAAGGCATAAATTCACGACTGATGCAAGTATCTCTTAGAGATCACAGTGCTGAACAGGCGCTGCTGCGAGCATGGATTTGACTCTGGCTTCCAGCAGAACCGAGATTAAACGGAGCTCTCCAATGTGGCAAAAGTTGATTATCTCAGTCACCAAAGACTACTGGAAAAAGAAACCGCACGTATAATTTAAATTAGTTTTTGCACTTAATTTGGATGAATTCCAGCTCTAAATATTAAGTATATACGGCTTTGACTGCCGCGCGGTAGTGTGACCTCTATTCTGCAACGAGCAAATGAAATGGCCCATTTGAAAAAGAATACATCTCTTCCCACAGGCGTTCTCCAGCACACGGAGGAAGGTCGTGCTTTTTCGAAGGTACAATTGTAAAACATTAGGAATTAGGAATAAAAAATACATAGCAACATATATAAAAAATATACATTGCTATAAAAACTCAAACCTCATGCATTTTTAATCAGAACACATCCATAGTGAATTTAGCACAATGCGATTGATTGCAATAATATCAATTCCTGACAGTAGCAGGTGAATATCACTAAATTAAATATAGCATTCTAAATTTTCTAGCAATTTCTCTGGCATGAAAGCAGTTCAAGCAACAACAGTTTTGGTTACATTTGATCCTTTTCAGTTTTAAGTAAAGCTGAGATTAAGCCACGTAAGACGAGGACGCAGGCTGGCAAAAGTCGACCTCAGGGTGCGAGGACCATGCGGGCAAGGCAGACGAGGCCACGAGCGGGCCACCAACACAGGGGACTGGGCCGGGCTGAGACAGGCAGAAGCTCCACGGGCTGGAACCCACTTCCCCTGTACCGCCCTTCCGCTCCTCTCTTAAAAAGCTCACTTCTCCACTGCCAGTTCCCTTCCTCTTCCTTGCCCTCAACGCCTTCCCGTCCCTCCCCGATCCTTTCATGATCTCCAAGGTAACTCCCTCGATCGCCGTGTCTCATTCCTCGATGCCCTTGTCGTACGTGCCCCCCCTGTCAACGACATCATACCACTTTGTAGGAGTGGAAGATGGCAACCTCTCCAAGCGGCCCACTCTGTTGAGTGACAAGTCGCGACAAATGCCATGCAGGCGGCGACCGAACATCGATCGTCGATCTCCCGGTTCTTCCAGAGCAAAGACAACACAAGCCGCGCCAACGGCCCTCTTCAGGGCCAAACAACGACGCGCCAGTTAGGCCCCTGGGACAGGGATCCTCCAACTGAACACTGATTGTGCCGATCGGTGTGGTTCAGGGCAGGGATCTCACCGCGGTCCAGTCGCCCGCCCTCCACTGGCCGCATGTGGTGGTGACACAGGGCTCCGTCTCGGGCGGCCGGGTGAGGTGCAGGCAGGCGGACGGGTCCGCGATGCCTCCGTGCACGTCGCGGCAGCTCACGTAGCGCTGCCTCACGCCCTTGCCACAGGACGCAGAGCACTGGGGCAGGCGCACAGACACGAAGGTAAACCACCGTGGGAGCCTCTACAAAGCCGTGGGGCGCAAGGACTTGTGAAGAGAGCGGTGCCTGCGAAGAAGGCCCGGCAATGGCACGCGAGTGGGCTCGGGTGGCCAGCAAAGCACGCCCGGCCGCCTTTGTCTCCCGAGGAGGTGATGTTTACTACACATCGCACCAGGTGCTCATTTGAGGTCGAGTCGACCTAAGGGAGGCCCAGGACTGGTTCAGATAAACGTCACTGGTGTGGGCCGTGAGCGGGGAATCGAACTCGGGACACCGGGTTCATAGCGCAGCGCCCCAACCACTACGCACACGGGCGCACACACACACACACACCTTTGTTGTAACATCCAATTATTCACCACGTGCCTGCTTCCTCAAACTGGAAGCTCTAAGGGGGGTTCAATTTCCTCCTTGACCTGGCGTCATGAGCTGCCACCGCGGGGAGGAGCAGGGGACAGAAGGCATCAGCCGCTTAGTGGCACAGTGTAGCGAAGGTCAAGGGTCGGAGCAAATGCGTCGAGAATCCCGCCGAGTGGCTCGGGCGCGAGAGCGGGCGGCTCGGACTCGGATGGTCGAAAGTTAAAATCTTGCTTGGGGTGGGGTAGAAATCCAGCTCATCATTCCCCCTGCAGGTCTATACATTTGGTACCACTTTGTGGGGCGGGTGCACGGTGGTTAAAATGTGTCCCCGCCATAGAAATGTGCAATTAACAGCACTAGGAGAGGGCTGTTAACGGTGAGGGGGGAGCGGCTGTGGGCCAGGGGGGAGGCGGAGGGCGGTGGAGGGGGGCGGGGGGGTACACACCGGAGTCCAGGAGCCGTATCGCCACTGCGTGGGAGACTGCTGCCGCTGCAAGTAGGACAGCGGGCTGGGAGTGAGGTCCGGCAGCGCTGCAGAGCAAGTCGTCTGCTCGCAGTCCTGCAGGAGCAGCGGTGGCACAGTGGCAGCAGAGGTCACGATGATGATGATGATGACATCGGCCCCCCCCCCCGCCCCCCCCAGAATAAAACGAACCACAAAGCTCCTCAAGAGAAGTACTTCACTCGCTCGCTCCCCTCCTCCCACATCCGTCTGCAGCTTGAGCAGCAACAATAATTATGAGAACGCTGGCGATGTTGAGCAGTGGTCGTGGGGATCAGCAGCGTAGCAGTTAGCGCGCTGCGCTTCGAACCCGGCATTACCCAAGTTGGATTCTCTAAAACTAACTCGAAATAACTTTACATTTTACCAGATAAGGCCCACTGAGATATATGACAGCTCTTTTTCAGACGCGACCTGGCTACAATTGTTAGCTCAACGGAGTGGCTTATCATGTGGAAATGTCCAACAGCCAAATACTCTAAACGCACGTTTCTAAATTTAGAATGGAAAACCAGAGGACACGGCGAAAAGCCACGTGACTACGGGGGAGAGAGACATGCAAATTCCAAATATAGAGGTGTCAGAAATGGGATGGAACCCACGACCTCCTGTATACCAGGCGAGGGAGTTAACATCTCCTAGCCACCACAGTGCCCATGGTGGCGGCCAACGCGTTTTAGCCGAACGCGCCGCTCTTCAGGAACGAATCCGTACCATACAACCGCGTTCAACACGAGGGATCAATGCACTTCGCCCGAAGAAAAGCACCGCGCGTTCTGGGCGCGAAGACCGTGCCACCCGCTTCACAGCTCTGGGCTTCGTTCCTCCCGGGCTCGCTCCCTCGGAGTGCAGAGCGGCGACTGCGCCCCAACTTAGCCGCCCGTGCATGTTCTGAGCTCACCGCGGAATGCGGCCTTCAAATTACGGACCCAAGTGACTCGATTGCGAGGGCACTTTCTGATATGTTCACTTCACGCCAACGAGTAACAAATGCTCCAAATAAGAAAACTAAACTATGCTTTATTTTACCAGGTAAGGCCCCCCCCCCCCCCCTGAGCGACGTAGCTCTTTTTCAGAAGTGACCTGGCAATCACAAACGATAGCCCGACGAAGTGGCTCGTCGTCACGTGCAAATGTACAGCAGCCAAACACTGTAACACGCATGTCGATGTTGATTCTCAATGTGGAGGGACAAAATTACCGGAGGACCCGGAGAAAAAATCCACGCGGAAACGGGGAGAGACACACAAAAACTCCAAATATACAGCAGGCGTCGGGGTCGGGATCAAACCCACGACCTCCTGAATACCAAAGGAGGAAGATGACGTGACACCCTTTCCCAAGTGCAGTGTACAGGAGACTTCCATTATAGGAGACATCATCTCGGTACGTTTTAAGATAAAAAAAATATGAATGTTGGGTCACCCGTTGTAGCGCCTCAAACCCTTCTGCACAACTGACGAGGTGGACTGAACAAAGCCTCAGGGTCACGACTGATTAAAAGGGGGGAATGTCGGTCCAAGCAGGAGACCTTCCTCGTCTCTGCTGCCTGTGTCTGCCCCGACTCTCGTCTGTCGCCGTTTCCATTCATGCCGTACTTTGAACAGGGAAACCGAGCGTCTCCGTTGCGTGCACACGACCCGCACGCCACGCACTGTGTGTGCAGCGCGTCCAGCGTCCGTGAGATGCAGTTGCATCGAGACGCTTTGTAAACAACAAGTCGAATCTTATTTCCGTTTGCATTTGCGGGTAATAGATGCAAATTAATCCAACGGTTAAATTTCGATTTAAAGCTTTCGTGACTGCAAGGATTCATCTTCTTTGGTTCTTTCGGTAAAGTCACGTAGAATGAGAATAAAATAATAAATTGACAAAATAAAATAACACAATAAAATTCTCATGACGTTTCGGCCACAACACAAGCGGCCTTCATCAGGTGAAGGGACGAGACTGTCTGGAGGACAGCGCTGGGGCGAACAAAGCCACGCTTAGATCACGACCTTTAAGCTGTGTGAGAAGAAACAAAGAGCCTTGACAAAGGAATTAGCATAGAATTTAGCATTGAAATAGCTGAGTGATTAGCTTGTGACTGGTCACAGAAATGGCTATGTTAAAGTCAACGGTGTGTGGTTACGGTGGACGTATCGAGCGTTCACTATAACTGACATTTACCAAAACAGACTAATATATACAAGTTATCCGTTAGTTTGGGGTCCGTGCAAAGGCATGGGGTGGGGCCACAGTCAGAGTGCTCCCCAAACAACGGGGTTTAAGGTTTGAGGCCGGTGTATCGCCTAGAGGGGGGCACGGGGGGGGGGACCGCCATGATGACCGACAGGGGTGTTTGCTCCCCTCCCACTACTCAGCCGATGAAGACCCATTGAGAGGAATTCCAAAGCTCAAACACCTCAATCAGAGCCGCCCATTCTGTCCATCCACGACCGTTCACAATGGCCAGAGATTGTGCTGAACCGATTTTTTTGTGTTTAGTTTTGTTCTCCCCCCGCGCCTCCGATTAGCGCGGTTGGCTACGCACGGTGCAAAAGAAGCTCGACATGCCGTACGTACGTACAACGTGGGGAGAGTGGGATAAATATCTGGGGTGTGGATTCACTGCGTTCGTTGGCGACCTTTTAACGGGGCGTGCCCGGTCTAACTAGCGGCCGCGGCTGCCGCACTTGTCCGCGGGTCAGCGACTCGGAGCCCGCGTGACACCGCAGACGTGTCTGGCAAGGAAACAGATTCACAATTTGAGAAAACGAGAGTTGAAAGAAAAAAAGATGCGACACGGTTCTTACGTCTCCGCCACCCCTAGGCCCACTGCAGGTAAAATACAAAACACCTCTCGGACGCGCTTTCCGAAGGAGCACGTGGGAGCGGGAACGTCAGATATCGTGCCGGACAAATGCCTCGGCACGACACAGAAAGAGGAAAGAAACATCGGGGAGCAATGCAGCAGCAGCAGCACAACGGTGAAAACCTGCGCTACTGGTGTAAACGATAAACACACCGTTATCATGTAACTTATATACTATAAACACACCGTTATCATGTAATTTATATACTATAAACACACCGTTATCATGTAACTTATATACTATAAACACACCGTTATCATGTAACTTATATACTATAAACACACCATTATTATGTAACTTATATACTATAAACACACCGTTATCATGTAACTTATATACTATAAACACACCGTTATTATGTAACTTATATACTATAAATACACCGTTATCATGTAACTTATATACTATAAACACACCGTTATCATGTAATTTATATACTATAAACACACCGTTATCATGTAACTTATATACTATAAACACACCGTTATCATGTAACTTATATACTATAAACACACCGTTATTATGTAACTTATATACTATAAACACACCGTTATCATGTAACTTATACACTCTCTGTATGTTAGACACAGACGTTTTATTTAAACTGTAAGAGCTGAGAAGATCTTTGTCATGGGTTTTCAGTCCAGGCTGGGAGTCGAAAAAAGTGGAAAATAACAGAGTCACATAGATAAATAAAAATAAACACCATCCACACGTAAACTGTATCATATATACACTCAATCACACGTGAACTGAAACAAAACAACAGAAGAATAATACCAGCAACCGGTAGAAATTTAAGGATAAATAACACCTGCAAATTCACAGTTGTCAACATACAGTTGCAAGAGCGGCTCAAGCTGCCATCACAACTTTGTGTTCTTTTTAGGCCAAAAGCCCCCGCCCCCCCCCCGCCACACCCCCCCGCTGCAATGGTCGAAAAATCTAGCGTTGACCGCGAGCGAAAGGGAGCGACGTTGGGGCGACGTTGGGGCGACGTTGGGGCGGCCGTCACCTGCGCCTCGGTGGGCCGCGTGGCGGCGTTGCACTCGCGGTCGTCCAGGATGGTGCTGTAGAACCCCGAGAAGCAGCGCATGGCACGCATCTGGTATCCACGGCCACACGTCACTGAGCACTGCACACACACACACAGACCAGTGGTTATTGGGTCACTACACACACACACAGACCAGTGGTTATTGGGTCACTGGGCACTACACACACACACAGACCAGTGGTTATTGGGTCACTGAGCACTACACACACACACACCAGTGGTTATTGGGTCACTGAGCACTACACACACACAGACCAGTGGCTATTGGGTCACTGAGCACTACACACACACACACACCAGTGGTTATTGGGTCACTGAGCACTACACACACACACAGACCAGTGGTTATTGGGTCACTGAGCACTACACACACACACACAGACCAGTGGTTATTGGGTCACTGAGCACTACACACACACACAGACCAGTGGTTATTGGGTCACTGAGCACTACACACACACAGACCAGTGGTTATTGGGTCACTGAGCACTACACACACACACCAGTGGTTATTGGGTCACTGAGCACTACACACACACACACAGACCAGTGGTTATTGGGTCACTGAGCACTACACACACACAGACCAGTGGTTATTGGGTCACTGAGCACTACACACACACACAGACCAGTGGTTATTGGGTCACTGAGCACTACACACACACACAGACCAGTGATTATTGGGTCACTGGGCACTACACACACACACACACAGACCAGTGGTTATTGGGTCACTGAGCACTACACACACACACACACACCAGTGGTTATTGGGTCACTGGGCACTACACACACACACAGACCAGTGGTTATTGGGTCACTGAGCACTACACACACACACAGACCAGTGGTTATTGGGTCACTGAGCACTACACACACACACACCAGTGGTTATTGGGTCACTGAGCACTACACACACACACCAGTGGTTATTGAGTCACTGAGCACTACACACACACACAGACCAGTGGTTATTGGGTCACTGAGCACTACACACACACAGACCAGTGGTTATTGGGTCACTGAGCACTACACACACACACAGACCAGTGGTTATTGGGTCACTGAGCACTACACACACACACACACCAGTGGTTATTGGGTCACTGGGCACTACACACACACACACAGACCAGTGGTTATTGGGTCACTGAGCACTACACACACACACCAGTGGTTATTGGGTCACTGGGCACTACACACACACACAGACCAGTGGTTATTGGGTCACTGAGCACTACACACACACACACCAGTGGTTATTGGGTCACTGAGCACTACACACACAGACCAGTGGTTATTGGGTCACTGAGCACTACACACACACAGACACAGACCAGTGGTTATTGGGTCACTGAGCACTACACACACAGACAGACACAGACCAGTGGTTATTGGGTCACTGAGCACTACACACACACACAGACCAGTGGTTATTGGGTCACTGGGCACTACACACACACAGACCAGTGGTTATTGGGTCACTGAGCACTACACACACACACACAGACCAGTGGTTATTGGGTCACTGAGCACTACACACACAGACACAGACCAGTGGTTATTGGGTCACTGAGCACTACACACACAGACACAGACCAGTGGTTATTGGGTCACTGAGCACTACACACACACAGACCAGTGGTTATTGGGTCACTGAGCACTACACACACACACAGACCAGTGGTTATTGGGTCACTGGGCACTACACACACACACACAGACCAGTGGTTATTGGGTCACTGGGCACTACACACACACACACGGACCAGTGGTTATTGGGTCACTGGGCACTACACACACACACAGACCAGTGGTTATTGGGTCACTGAGCACTGCACACACAGAGATCAGTTTAACATGTAGGCTTTCGCAACTAATATCATCCATAATACAGGTTTTTTTTTGGGTTAGATCACATGAATATAAATGTGTCGTTAAACCCGCCACCACCCGACACAGCCAATTAGTAAGATTATTCACGTAAACAGAACATGCCAATTCGTCACTAGTACAGCACACCGGTGTGTTGGAGAGCAAAGCCACACCATTTACAATCTGAGTACGACGTTCCGCCAGTAATTACAACTAGCTTCATCAGGCGACAGCCAGATTTGTGACGAAATCCTCCTGTTTCGTTCCTGAAATAGGTGTGATGACATCACTTGTGAGTCCTTCTTGAGCGAAGTGGGGGGGGGGGGGGGGGGGATTCACGAATGCATATAAATTACAATGGGTATTCATTGGCGGTTGGGTTACTGATATGGTAATCAACGCACATTATGCATGCGTATTATGCAAGCCCATTGTTATTTTACCTCCTGTCGATTGTGTGCAGTAAAATATCAGTTCCTGTTATTGTCTGTTCAACGGACATCCCCATTGAAGTATGGTACCCTGTATAGGCATGCATTTAAACAATCATTTGATGATTCACTTTCAAGCAGCACTAATTCTGTAGCTATCCGAATGGTTAAAAACATTTAATTTATACAAATTTCGATAAATTCTCTAATTAGTCTTGGCCAGCAGTAACTAGTTTTGCACAGAACGTCAACATTATCAGCATCATTTAAGTGTCCTTGTTGGCACGCGTGTTCTGCCACTGCCAACAGTTGTGTTTGGGAGTATTTAATATTTATTTGGTGTTCTCTTAGACTCGTGCTGATCGTTCGTCCTGTTTGTCCAACACAGCATTTAACACAAGTGCAATTAATCCGGTACACACCTTCTGTTGATAGCTTCGGTAATACATCTTTTGTACCAGATAATAATTTATGTATTTTATGTACCTTGCCAAATCTGACTCGGATGTTTTGTTTTTCAAAACATCTGGATAGTTTATCAATTACTCCCGTAATGTACGGTATTTTAATAGTTGTAATTTTTTGGTCAGTTTCAACGCTCGTGTTATTTGATTTGGTTTTGGCATTCAGTGCCCTGTTATTTGTGCACCATTGTAACCGTTTAATTGAAATGCTTCTTTAACATGATTAATTTAACTTCTCAGACTATCACAATCTGACACTTTCTTAGCCCGATGTATGAGCGTATTGATGAGAGAGGATTTCTGTGTGGGGTGATGGTGTGACTGCATTCAAATAGGCGTCAGTGTGAGTTTTCTTTCGGTAAATGCTGTGTTATTTTATAATTTCGATTGTGCCCGAGCAGAATATTCAGAAATGGGAGAGTTTTGTCAGCTTCCACTTGCATGGTGAACTGGATAGACGGGTTTTGCGACTTAAGATGGTTTAAAAATTCGTTAAGTGTATCTTTGCCACGTGGCCAGACCACCAATGTGTCATCCACATATCTAAACTAAGCAGAGGGGTTTAGTGTGCTTGAAGCTATTGCTTTTGTTTAAAAATCTTCCATGTACAAATTCACTATCAGCTCGTCGTGGGACAACTCTGGCTCAACCTGCGTTCATTACCAGAGTATCGAGTAATTTAATTGACTTGAACCCTCGTGAACACAGAAGTCACATCAAAACTTACGAGAACATCATTGGAGTTAAGCTTGTTCAGAGTTTTTAATAAACGAAGAGGTCCTACAGATGTAGGGCTGTATTTGTTTCGTTGCATATGCTAATTTGTATGTGGCAGAGCCTCTTGTCCTAACTATGGATCTTAATGTGACATCAGCTTTGTGAATCTTTGGTAGCCCATGGAGTGGTGGTGGTTTTGACACCCTTGGTTTGATCAGGTATTGCTCCTCCTTGGGAATTGATGCCTTGGCAATGATTGCCATTGATTTACGTTCCAAGGTGTTGATTGGGTCTCGTTTAATTTTAAGTTAGGTACTTTAATCGAGTAAATCTTCTGATTTTATTATCGTAATCCTCACGGGGCATCACAACAGCAGCAATAATTTGGATATCTTTATTTGCTCTAAATTCTGTAAAGGTTTTTGCCTCACTGAAACTAATATTTGATTTTGGCCATTTACTGTTTTCAATAATTTTGGCACGTTGAGCGAAACGTCGCCGTGCCAAAAAACAACAACAAACGGAGAGCTGCATAGCAGCAGCACAACCGTGACAACCACCTCACTCGTCGATCTTCTTCTTCCCGTCGCACGGCTGCTGATGTAGACGCAGAGCGACAACCACAATGTCACACCCGGCGTGTCAAGCCCAGACAAGCGCGTTCCGAGCCAACAGGCGTAGCGTTATCGCCGTGACGTCTCCTCCGTATTTGTGGATCGGTGGTGTGGCATCATCATGCGTTGTCACGGTCGGTTTTTTAAGTTTTCCATTTGTGCATCGGGTATCTGCGTCTGCTCCCATGGTCTGTGCAGCGGATGCGGTTCAAGGTGGACCGTGAGCCACTTCGTGGAAGATCAAACTCCAGGGGACCTTCTGCATTGGGGTCTTTCGCAATGTTCATCGATAGCGGAGTGAGACCAAACTGACATTGGCCTGGAGTTTGGGGCAATGCAAGGTCGAGTGCCGTTTAACTTTTAGCTATTCATGTTGGGATCCGTAAGACAACAAAACAGAGTTGCGTTTGCTCCTTCCGATTGAGAAGGCGAGGGAATGGGAGGGCGGGGGGGAGCCGAGTCGGGTGAGGAGTGTGCACGATGGGGAGCCGATGAAACGTTGCCAGATTTTATTAAAATCGTCGGGTTCGTGTAGGATTTAAGAGCCGGGGAGGCAGAGTTGAACATATGTCCACACCGCGTCTAGAATATCATCAGGGCAGTATGTTCTCTCTCCTCCCCCCATGTATCACGCGCCCAGTCCTGGAGACGTATATTTCAAAGTGGGATTTCTTTGTGGACATGTAGTCCCCCGATAAGGGGAGGATTCCAAGCTTGCCATGTCAATGGACTGCGGAATGGCCATTGATCACGCGGAGTTGAAATGCCCCGTTATGTTTCAATGTGTGTGTGTCTCGATGTCGGTGTGGGTCCTTCGTGTCTCTCCATGTTCTCTGTGTCTCATCTCTCTGTCTCTCTATTTTCCTCAGTGTCTCACCCCAGCCATCAGCTTTGCAAACTTTAAATACGTAAAAAAATATGTTTTCCCATCTTACCGACCTCAGCGTGCAATTTCACACCCAACGAGTTCTGCAGACAAAGCATTATCGTGCCGTGTTGGTGTTCGACCTTGCCATTCAGAACTTGTTTTTTTAATTTAAGCAAGTTTCGATCTTGCAACCAGGTCCCCACTGGAAAATGCGATTTTTCTTTTTCTCAATGGCTGTTTAACCTGTGGCCTTCCGATGCATCGGGACATAAGCCCAGCGCCGCCTGTTCGCCTAAAATCACGCCACCCCTTCTGGATCACAGAAGCCACACTCGACGCCACGAATGCAAATGAAGGCGAGAGACGGCCGCGAGTCTGGACTGCGACCGACGTCAAAAATAACCATCTTGTACAGGACCCTACCGTCGGACCTCCCGGTTTCAACCTTCCACGCCGCCAAAGGGCGACCGTCAGCCGAATTGGGACCAGGGATGGCCGATGCGGCCACCCGATGCCACAAATGGCGCCATCAAAGATTCCGTGGCCTGCGAGTAACGCGGCCACCAATTCCAAACCATCGACCGGCACCGTAAACAGCTCGCTGCTGCTGCTGTTTTCTCTCATTTAGAGGAGAAATGGACAAGATCCACTCTGCTTCTGAACAGACAATTGAGTGGATAACAACATCTGCTATTAATCCACACGAAAGAAGAAGACCTGTGGCCAAAACAATCACTAAACATGTTCATTGGCCTTTGTTTAGTTTTTGCCCCTTATTACAGCGTCACACTCTGGGCAGCTGTCCTGATTCTCCCCCCCCTCCTCCCCCTTAAGGCCGTGCATGGAATCCAAACACAGAAGACGGAGTTGTTTTTAATTATCAGGGGCTAAAAATGCGATTTCATCTTTTTTTGCACGCGAAACTGCAGCCTTCGCACATTCTTTGTAGGACGAAAAAAAATGTCGCCCACTGCCATCGATGTTGATGAGCAAAGACAAAGATCCCCCTATAGCCTTTAACAGACTGTTGGGGCAAGTGCTATTAGCGAGCAGCACCTGTGAAGGCCGGCACGGCACACGAGGGGGTGGGTGGCCAGCATCACGCCCGGCCGCCTTTGTCTCCCTAACTCGCAATGTTTTTTTTTCATATCGCACTAGGTACTCATTTGAGGCCGAGTCGACCTAGGGGAGGGGGCCCAGGACCGGCAAAGATAATCGTCACCGGTGTTGGCCGTGAGCGGGAATCGAACTCGGGTCACCAGGGTCGTAGCGCAGCGTAGCGCTCACCGCTACGCCGCAGCACCACACACACTGCAGCACCCACACAAGCCACAGCACCCACACACGCTGCAGCACCACACAAACCACAGCACCACACAAGCTGCAGCACCACACACGCTGCAGCACCCACACACATGCCGCAGCACCACACAAGCTGCAGCACCACACAAACCACAGCACCACACAAGCCATAGCACCCACACACACGCCGCAGCACCACACAAACCACAGCACCACACAAGCTGCAGCACCACACAAGCGTGAGTGCCGCTCGACATCGACGTCAGTGAAATAATTAAACGGACGTCGAATCCTGTTTTAATCATGCAGGTGCGTCATAAAAAATGTATGCCATTGTGGAAAAATAAAATTAATATTCGATCAGTGTTTTGTTTTAGGCCATGACAAGGCTTTGATCTTGCAGACAGAGCCCGTGGAGGGATGTACAATCGCAGACATCTGATAGATGCGTGCGGGTGATAAGTTTCTTTCAAAGTCTCATTGAATTCTTATCTACAGGTTTGTAAATGTTCTTTATCCGTGATTAGCATTTTTTTGTATGTATATAGAAGGAAACCAGAGAAGCTGGAGAGGACTCACACAAGTTGAACAATTTTTTCGTGTTTTTTTTGTGTTGTTTAGTTTGTAGTCCTTCCCCCGCACCTCCGATCACCACGGTTGGCGACGTACAGCGCGAAAGAAGTTCAACGTAAAGTACACATGTACAATTCGAAATTCACACATAAGGGTCCGAAAACTTCTGGCACCTTGCAGCCGCGCGTGCGTGCCCCGCCCCCTCAGCCAGATCGATGGCGCTTCAAGTCTGGAAGGGGCGCTGTATAAATCCGAAATAAAATACAAGTCCTGCATTGCTTTTAAATTGGAAACATTTTCCTTGCGGCGTTCAGTTTTTGCTTTGCAGAATTTTAAATTCAACAACAGCAGCCTGACTGGGCACTGGAACAGTGTCCCGAACAGTTTGATGACCATTCATGAGATTTTTATTTTCTTTATATCATTTTTTTTAAGAGTATATACGCGTAGTTTTCTTATTAATTGTGATTCTTAAACATGCTAGCGTTGGGTTTAATGTTAGCTTAGTAACACTTAGTCCGTCCTGCTGTCCAGTTGCCTGGGTGAAAAGTGGGACTGGGTTTTGCCCAATCCTGGCCTAGCTGGCTCGGCAAGCTTTATAAACATCGAGAAGAGGCTGGGTGTTACGCACTTTTAAATCTACATCGAAAACTATTTAGATCTGTTTATGGTTTGTTATCCTTCCCATATATCGATTAGCACGGCTGGCTATGTACGGTGCAAAATAAGTTTAAAAATACATGCGTACAGATACATCAAAGAATGAAAGACCCCGACCTGAAAACTGTAAGTTTTAACACGTAGGCTTTCGCGACCAATATTATTCATACTAACGGTTTTTGGATTAGATCGTGTAAGTGTAAATGTTGTGTCGTAACACTCCACCACCCGACACAGCCAGTAAGGCTTGTCACGTAAACAAAAAGCGCCAATTAGTTACTACTTCAGCCCACTGGTGTGTTGGAGAGTAACTAATTGGCACGTTGTTTACGTGACAAACCTTACTGGCTGTGTCGGGCGGTGGAGGGTAACAACACAACATTTATACTTAAGCGGAAATAAAAAAAACCTTCATTATTATTATTTTTAATACCGTCGCGGCTACTCCACGTCACCGCGGCTACCCCGCTTTGACGTTCGCCTGCGGGAGCTGCGACTCACCGGACCCCAGGGCCCCGCCTGCCACGAGGCGCACTCGGGCAGCTCGCACGTGCCCATGGCCTCGGGGCGGCCGCCGGCGTCGCAGAACGTCTCCTCCAGCGTCTCCTCGCCCAGCAGGCAGTGCACGCGCCGGTGCCGCACGCCCTTGCCGCACGTCGCCGTGCACTGAGTGCCGGTCGATCGTGCAACACGCACACGCATACACACACACATACACACACACATACACGCATACATACACACACACATACACACACATACACACACACACACATTCACACACGCATACACACACACATTCACACACACATACACACACATACACACACATTCACACACACATACATACACACACATTCACACACACATACACACACACATTCACACACATTCACACACACATACACACATTCACACACATACACACATACACATATACACACACACACATTCACACACACACACATACACACACATTCACACACACACACATACACACACACATACACACACACATACACACATTCACACACACATACACACACACATACACACATACACACACATACACACACACAACACACACACATACACACACACATACACACACACACAACACATACACACACACACATACACACACACATACACACACACGCATACACAACACACACACATACACACACATATACACACACACATACACACACACAACACACACATACACACACACATACACACGCATACACACACACATACACACGCATACACACACACGTACACACACATACACACATACACAAACATATACACGAACACATGCAGAGACAAACACACGCCCACATACAGAGACAAAGACAAAGATCCCCCGTATAGCCTTAACAGACTGTAGGGGCAAGTGCTGTTAGCGAGCACCTATGAAGGCCGGATCGGTACACGAGGGGGTGGGTGGCCAGCACCACGCCCGACCGCCTTTGTCTCCCTCGTGGCAATGTTTACACACCGCACCAGGTACTCATTTGAGGCTGAGTCGACCTAGGGGAGGCCCAGGCCCGGTTCAGATAATCGTCACTGGTGTTCGCCGTGAGCAGGAATCGAACCCGGGTCGCCAAGTTCGTAGCGCAATGCTCGAAACGTTACATTACCACTCCCCACAGACACCCGCACACACACCCGCACAAACACACACACACACCCGCACACACACACCTGCACACACACACCCGCACACACACACCCGCACACACACACGACACAGATCCCCCGCATAGCCTTTAACAGACCGTTGGAGCGAGTCCTGTCAGGGAGTCGCAGCGCCTACAAAGGACCGCCTTTGTCTCCACAGGTCTCCACAGTGCTGATGTTTACACACCGCACCAAAGGTTGAGTTCACCTACGCGTGGCTCAAGTATTCGTCACCGATGTCGGTTGTCAGCGGGAATTTAATTCAGGACCCTGGGTTCGTAGCGCGGTGTGACAGCCAACCATACTACCGCTTCCCCACACACGGACACACACACCCGGACACACACATACACACGGGGACACACACACATGGTAGTTACAGTGGCTGGGGTGAGAACCGCAATGGAATGCGCAACCCAACAGTGGCGGTAGTGCTGGAGGAACGTTCTTGCATCAGGAGGGGCAGACTCAAGCGGAACTAAACGAACCTCGGATCATCACCATGCGCCCCGAGGCAGACCTCCTCACGTCTCGAGACAAGCCACGGGACAATTCGCCACGTTCCAGCACAACAAACCGATTACGGTCTCCTAAGCCCGGACGGGAATGGCTCCAAAACGTCACCCCAAAAATTGTCGCCGCCGCTCACGACACCCGGACCCAGCCGCAGGGGGGCCGGGCCTGGCAAGATCACGGGGGGGGCGGGCGGGCGGGCGGGCGGGCGGGCGACGACGCGGAGGCCGCTGCGTGGGTGCCCACCTCCGTCCACTCGCTGGCCACCCACTGGGGACAAGGGCGCTCGTTGCAGCTCTGGGACGTGACCCTCTGGTTGGCGTCGCACTCCTGGTTGGAGACGCGCCGCCCGAGGTTGTTGACGCACGCAGCGCTGCGCGTGCGAGCGCCCCCCGCGCAGCTCTGGGAACACTGCGTTGGGGACGGCAAAAGCAGCACACACGGGGCACTGAGTGTACAGAGGCTGCGGGGCGGCAGAGACAACATATGCAGGGGCTCCTCTACTTATGAAAATTCGACTTACGAACTTTCAGAGATACGAACAAACCTGTCCATATGTCCAGTTGCCTGTTCTGGTCCAAGAGTCGTAAGTTCATTTCTGCCTGGGCATAAATGCTGGAAACGCATCTACATCTGCAGAACATGAAGAACCAGTGGCATCTACATCTGCAGAACATGAAGAACCAGTGGCATCTACATCTGCAGAACATGAAGTACCATTGGCATCTACAGCTGCAGAACATTAAGAACAGTGGCATCTGCAGAAGATTATACAACTTTTAAAGCCATTCCCCGTGTTTAGTGTATGTGCCGTACAACGTGTTTGTAATCGAGGAGTAAAGTCGGACTTACGAACAAATCAACTTATGTACAGACCTATGGAACCTAACTTGTTTGTAAGTAGAGGAGTCCCTGTACACAGCATAAACACAACAGCACACAGCAGGGAAAAATATACACAGCATATGCACATGGGCACTGAGCATACACAGAGCCTGCACACAGCAGAGAAAACATACAGACACAACATAAAAGACAAAGATCCCCCCCTGAGTCGACCTAGAGCAGGCCCAGCACTGGTTCAGAAAACCACCGTCAATGGGATTGGTCGCGAGTGGTTATTGAATCTGGGACGCTGGGGTCTCCAGCGAGCGTTAGCTCGTTTGATCGCCACAAGATCGGCACCCCCAGCGCAACGCACGCGACAAGCTGCAGGGCCCGAGGTCTGTATGAAGAGGGGACATTTTTTTTATTGACTTCAAAAGTCTGCCAGCGAAGCCGCAAATCCCCGAGGCCGTTCGCTAACGCGGGAGGCGCGCGCCTCACACGCCGCCGGTTTCAAACGCATGTCTCCTCATCTCTTGACATGATTCACGTGGCACAAATGGAAGATAATTGGGGGGGGAGGGGGTGAAATATAAAAATGTATATAATATATAAAAGACATACGGCTCTAAGTGAAGGATTGTAATGATGTATTCTTTCATTTTTTATACAATATCGGAGTTGTTTCTCAAACTCAAATCCTCTCGGCTCATCACATCTCATTTTTATATGGCTAGCTTTCTCTAGCATCTAAATGAGGTTTTGCATGAATTTCAAAGGTAGCCTTGGATAATGTGTGCGTCGGTTATCTGCGTGTGCCGAGCTTTATCCATTATGCAGCTACCCCTGCTCCTAGTCCAACCCAACCCCCGTGCGTAACCTTGGACTGAAAGTTACAACTTCAAAGTGAGCAGATTTAACCGAGTGCCAATTTGCTGATGGGAGGCAAGGGTCGGGATTAGGATGGCCCTCTCTTCCACATTCACCCGATATCTTGGAAGAGGTCGGAGTCACCCACACTTTACACCCGCCACACGCAACCCTTCGATGGACATAATGCGGTGAGCCCATTTATACCGCTGGGGGAACAGAGGCAGTGGAGCAGGGTAGAGGGCGAGGGGGGGGGGGCGGGGGTTAAGAAACTTGCGCCATTGTCTCAACTGGAATTGATCAGAAACTGGCGTCCTCTGAATCACAAGCCCGGTGCAATGTCCCACGGCGGTGGCAAAAGGGGGGGGGGGGGGGGGTAGAGAAATTAAACGAGGAGCTAACGAGGAGCTAACGAGGAGCTAACGAGGAGCTAACTTGCACCGTTGTTTCAACTGCCGCCACCGCCGGAGGGTTCCAAGGAACGAGCGTCCTCCGGGTAGGAAGGCAAGCGCCGCCGCCCGTCATCACGCTGTGGCAACATCAAATTCAACCGTCGACGAACGCTGTTGCCCGGGGGGGGGGGGGGGGGGGCGGCGCGGGGAGCTCACCTGCGACCAGGACGTGTACTGCCAGCTGGTGAGGTGGCAGTCCCCGTGGCAGGGCTCGCGCGCGGCTGGCTTGGGCAGCTCGGCGCAGTGCCGGTCGTCCACCACGTCGGAGCGGGCCTTGGCGGGGCCGTAGCGCACGCAGCGCACCTCCAGCGAGCGCTGGCCCGGCCCGCACTGGGCCGAGCACTCGCTGCGGCCTGCCACGTGCCAGCTGTGGTGGGGGGGGGGGGGGGGAGAGGAGGCGGGGGGGGGGCGCACTGCACGTGGAGTCACGCGACGGCGACTTCGCTCCCCGCCGTGAAGAAGCGGACCTCCTGCATACCCTCGCCTGGTACGCAGGAGGCCGTGGGTTCGATCCCGACCCTGATGCCGACTGTGTATTCTGAGTTTGTGAATCTCTCTTGCAGTCTCTCTCTCCCCGTGGTCGCGTAGATTTTTCCCCGGGTTCCTCTGGGTTTTGACCCTCCACATTTTGGAATCGACGTCACGCGTCTAGAGAGCGCTTGGTCTACTGCAATACATTCCCACGTAGTGATGATAATGAGCCACTTCGCTGGGCTATCATCTGTGATACCAAGGTAGCTTGTTTGAAAAATTACTAAATAGTTCAGTGGGCCTTACCTGATGAAATAAAAAAAGTTGATAATCGTTGAAATAGTTGAATTCAGAATCAGAATCTTTATGTATACTGGAGGGATCCGATGAGCTATAAAGCTATTTTTCACAGATGTCCAGTAGGGGCGGGTAAGAACGTTACAACAACAAACAGTAAAATAAACACGATAGGAGTGTAAATAACAAGAAAGATAAACAAATCACCCAAACAGCGAACAAACAAACACAATAAACCATCCCCATCCTACCAGGCAAAGCCCCACTGAGGCATTAACTTATTTTTTAGACGTGACCTGGCCACAAACGAAAGCTCAACAAAGTGGCCCATCATTTGCACATTTATAGCACCAAATGAATCTAAATAGCCTAAACGCATGTTTCTACATGTGGAAGGAAAAACCGGAGTACCTGGATAAAAAATCCACATGCCCACGGGGAGAGAGATACGCTAACTCCAAATATACAGGCGTCAGGGTCGGGATCGAGCCCCCCGACCTGCATACCAGGCGCAATCGTTTACATCTTGGAGCCGCCCTTCGCAGAGAGAAGGGCGGCAGCCAGCCGTGGCCAGAGGAGAAGAGGAAGGCCCGAAGTGGGGGAGAGAGGTCGACGGCACGGATGGCTCACGATGGATTTTTTTGGGGGGGCGGTTGGGTCGCCACGTAAGTAAAATGTCGCGTCGTACACCCTCCTCCACCCGACACAGCCAATGAATAAAGTTGTCACGTGACGACCGAACGTGTCAGCATGTTTCGGCTTCAGCAGCACCACCGAGTGTTTTTGTGGGAGAGCGATCCGCACGCGCCTTTAACGACATGGGACGGACGATTTGCTGGTGGCCACGGTCCAGAATCACCAGGCAGCTGCCAGCACAGATGGCTTCTTCACATCAGTGCGCGTTACAGGGTGCCTCTCTAAGCGGGAATGCCGTATAAACCCCGACCCACAACGCCTTGCGAGGTGCGGCCACTCACCAGTGTGTGCTCTGGAGTGAATCTCTAACACAGCGATACGAGATAAACCCCCTGGCACAGATCAAATAGACACGCACACAGAGCATGAATATTTCCCTCTCCTGCCCACATCACTGGCGCGTGATTTGATTACTGATCAAAATTCAGCAACGATGCTATTCAATGATTTAATTTTTCGTGCTAAAATTTGGAGGCTTTCATTCAGCTGTAGATTGATCATGGCCGCCGATATAGACGATCAATTTCACGGTCTCCATTGCGTCGCTTCTCGTTTTGCGTGACCTCATGTGCGCAGCCTCGTTTATTCCGCTAGCCTAAATGTAACCACTCGCAAATTATCTCCAATGAATCGCAATACATGAATTTATGAACATGTCCGCAAAGGAACCCCTGTGGTCTGAATACGTCAGGTCGAGCACTGTTCACGAACACCTATTGGTCCAATTTTTTGGCGTTCTTTGGTCTGACACTGGTCATAAAGAAGGCTGTCGCTGGTGTAGGCCAATCAGTTTCCAAGACAATGCGTATATTATCAGAGCATGTTTGTTTGCATGTTCACCACAAGTACGTGTGGTGAATGCAGATTTGATTCCTTGCAAACGGTTTATATTTGGTGTTTGAACATCTTAACACCTGTTTTATTGCCAGAAAGGTAAAACCTATTCTTATTTTTGAACTCCCTATCAACCTTCCACAACAACCGCCTGAGGAAAATCTGTCGCATCTTCTGGCCAAACAAGCTTTCAAACCGGGATCTGTACATCAAGACCAATGAAAGATGCGTGACGCGGGGGGACATAACAGAGAGAAGACTCAGGTGGCTGGGACACGTGCTGAGAATGGAACCCGAGTCCGTAGCGAACACTGACCTATGGTGGACACCACACGGGGCAAGCCGAAGTCCACCTGGCGATGACACCGTTCCAGACCAACTAAAGACCATGGGGGGGCTGTCTTGGGGTGAAGCAGAGAAAGCTGCTAAAGACCGTCCGGCATGGCCATAGGCTTGTTGCGGCCTTATGCTCCACAGAGAGCGAAGAGGAGTAAGCAAGCATTATTATTGTACACTTGGGTCGGCGGGGCCAGCACGTGACACTCTTGTGGCATTTTTCCGCTCCAGACACCGCACCGCGCACCACGCCGCTTCAACAGCGTTTCAACTTCGGTACTGCCCGAGCCAAATCCGGACTCCACAATCAGCAGCGATGCGTACGTACTGTGTACAGACGTACATCAGATTCGCGGCGGGTCATTGCGGACGGGTCAAGGCGGACTAAATCCCGACGTGTCACTTCCCCGCGAACGCGCAGACTGTTTCATATGGACGCACGAGAACAAAAAACGACGCTCAACACCTCTGACAGACGTTGCTAAGCCACGTGCCCACGCATCTCACGGAGGCGTGCCGCCAACATCCCACCGAAGGCGCTGGCTTTTTTGTCGTCGTTGTTTCAGTGCAGTAATTAATTCTGGCTGCGAGCAGGAGAAGGCGCGGAGAGGGTCTTGTGCAGCAAATTGTTGACGGTGAACACGATGGCGCGCTGGGTGGGGTCTCGGGCCCGAATTACGCATGGGGGAATAACCCCACGCATTAAATTTATCCCCGGCGGGTTATTTAAATTATCACAGCGGAGACGGCAATGGTGATGCGAGGACAGTCTGCTCGCCGACTAGATAGGAACAAAATCTTTCATTCGTCTCCACCTACAGAGAAGGCGACGGTCGCCGTGTTGCGTAAAACACGCGCGGGAGAGCGAGAGGGAATGTAGGCAGACGAACGCAAAGCGGATCAACGGAAAGGCGGAGCGAAAATGTTTAAACAATCGGGGTGAACGGGGACTCAAGCGACCGGGTTAGCCTGTTTCAGGAAAGGGGGCGATGATTGTTCTGTTGTAGGTTGCGCTCTTTTGGCGATCGGCTTTTGTTCGCGTGGCACCCGAGTTATGGAACGCCTTTCCACTTGAAATCAGGCAATCGGAGTCGGTAGATATATTTAAGTCTGCTTTCAAAATCCATCTCTTTAAAGTGGCCTTCCCTCTCCAGTTTGGTCGCTTGCCCCCTGGTTCTGATTTTGTTTCACTGCTTTTCACGCATTTGCGCACTGGGATCCGAGGATGGAATGCTCAATTGTACATTTGAATTATTATCAGAATCCCAATCGAGTAATCGGCGGCGTCATTTTCGAATTCGGCAAATGTGGGCCCCGACGCCAGCACAAAATGGCTGACGCTCGCGAGTGACGTCATGGGCGTTTTTGACGCCCCACTGTGAAACAGACGGCCCGTGGTGTGGTATTTTTATTACACCAGCCGGTAATAATCGTGTTAATAAAGATCAACACGAAAGGTGCAGCATTGCAATTTCATTGTCATGCCACTGCTGGCAAAGAGGCCTCCGATAGAGGCAGCTCTAGAGGCCCCCTCTAGAGGTTACGTCCCAAACAACATGCCCTCACTTCGGCACTTTTCCCGCAAAAAAGTGTGGCATGCCATCGGGTGAGGTCACCGTTGTGAGCATGGGGCTATGCCCCCATTAGCATGCAATTTAAACGAGCTGTAATGTGAAATTGTCTCGATTTTTTTCTCCTAAATCTAGTAAAAAAGATGTGCATCCAATTCTCATCCCTAGCATCTAAAGCCCAATTGTTCAGACTGAGAAATCGGGAATGTATCCAATAAGGTACGCCATGGGGGGAGTGCGTGCGATGGGGGGAGTGCGATGAGGGGAGTGCGATGGAGTTACCGGAGCTCACACTCGGTGTTGCAGCTCTGGCTGAGTGGCTCCGGACGCCGCAGGTGATGGCAGCGCTGCTCCGAGACCACGAGGCGATCGCTCTCCCGCAAGCACACCACCTTCCCGTGCTGCTCCCCTGCACGCGAGGGGCACGCACGCCGCCTCGTTACCCCGTTGCCGGCTCGCCAGTGGCGATCCCCAATTAGAAATCGATTTCAAACACTCCAAACATTTGACACCACAAAACAAATATGTAATAGGTGAGCTTTCAGATAATGGGCCTTTTTCACTGCTCTCTTACGTGCAATAGAGATGAGCCATTGCCCAAGACGGGCCATTGACCGCCGTCAACGCGGCATCAGGAAAAAAAATTCTATGCAAAAGGGTTGCGGCACAGACGTGCGCGTGACCTCCCCTCTCTCTGTCGATACAACAATCACGTGACTGCCGCGTGAAGCGGATGCCACCGCCAACGGCGGTCAACGCTGCCCCCCGCAGTGTTGACCGGGGCGGCCGCGGCCTCGAACCCCCTGCGACGAGATCGGCAAAACGCGCTCCACCCCCTGCTCGGCCGTGGTGCCACTGCCAGGCGGCCCGCCTGGGCACGCCCTCGACGGGACTCGCGAAAGGGCGTTGTAGGAGGGTCGCGCTCATTACACGCAAGCTGCTCGCCACAAACGAACCGCAGTAGCTCGCCGATCTCGTCAGGGACCGCAACCCATTGCGCGGACTCTGGGCAGCCTCGCAAGCAGCGGCGGCTTTGGGCTAACCATCAAACAGAGCCAGAATATGTATTTATACTGGTGGAATCCGATGAGCTGTAAAGCTCTTTTTCACAGATGGCCAAGAATTGCACAGGTGTCCAAAACAAAGGCGGTCACCGCATCGCGCGGCGCTTTCAGAAGCGCTCCTGCGGCCGTCTGGAACGCTCTTCCTTCCGATATCATGAAGCCACCAGAGCTATACACTTTTAAATCATCTAGATTTACAAACTATTTTTTTAAAAACTAATTTCCGTTTCCTGTCCTTCCCCTGATCCTCCGATATGCACGGTTGGCTACATACGGTGTGAAAGACACTCAACATACACTAACAAGACAATGACAAACTTCCCCGTATAGCCTTAGCGAGCACCTATGAAGGCTGGAATGGCACACGAAGGAGTCGGTGGCCAGCACCACGCCTGGCCACCTTTGTCTCCCCAGTGGCTATATTTACACACCGCACCAGGTACTCATTTGAGGGCGAGTCGACCTAGGCGAGGCCCAAGACCGGTTCAAATAATCGTCACCGGTGTTGGCCGTGAGCGGGAATCGAACCTGGGTCGCCGGGCTCGTAGCGCGGCGTGCTAACCGCTGCACCTCCGCTCCCCACACTATACACGCATACGTACACACACACACACGCACGCACGTGCACCCATACACGTACCCCGGCAGGTGCGGCTGCACTCCTGCCAGGCCCCGTTCGTGTCCCAGGCGTAGCGCTGGGCCTTCTCCTCTGTCGGGATGCTGAAGCTGTAGCGGATGTCGGGGCTGTGCAGGTTGCCCACGGACAGCACCTGTGACACGGTGGCGGTGCGGCCCACGCAGCGGCGGGGCTGTCAGTCCGTCCAGAGTTGCGGGTCCAATTTTCTCTCGCGTCACTGCTTGGCAAGGCCGGCATTTTCTTAATTTTTTTAAATTTCATTTTTAGACGAATACATATTTTTACGGCGGCCAACGCAAACCCGTGCGCCGCTCGCTCACCATGATCGCGACCTCCTCGTCGATGCGCTGGGAGCAGTTGAGGCGCTCCACTGCGGTGTCGGAGCCGGTGTAGTCGATGGTGGCGCCGCGCACCCTCACCTCACGCTTGAACACGCTGACCACGAAGTTGCCATTGAGCAGGTAGCCTCCCTGCCCACTCCGCACAGCTGTCACGGGGAGGGGGGGGGCACACACAGAGTCACGTGTGAGCAGGTAGCCTCCCTGCCTACTCCGCACAGCTGTCACGGGGAGGGGGGGGCACACACAGAGTCACGTGTGAGCAGGTAGCCTCCCTGCCCACTCCGCACAGCTGTCATGGGGAGGGGGGGGGCACACACAGAGTCACGTGTGAGCAGGTAGCCTCCCTGCCTACTCCATACAGCTGTCACGGGGAGGGGGGCACACACAGAGTCGCGTGTGAGCAGGTAGCCTCCCTGCCCACTCCGCACAGCTGTCACGGGGAGGGGGGGCACACAGAGTCACGTGTGAGCAGGTAGCCTCCCTGCCCACTCCGCACCGCTGTCACGGGGAGGGGGGGCACACAGAGTCACGTGTGAGCAGGTAGCCTCCCTGCCCACTCCGCACAGCTGTCATGGGGAGGGGGGGGGCACACACAGAGTCACGTGTGAGCAGGTAGCCTCCCTGCCTACTCCATACAGCTGTCACGGGGAGGGGGGCACACACAGAGTCGCGTGTGAGCAGGTAGCCTCCCTGCCCACTCTGCACGGCTGTCACGGAGAGGGGGGGGGGGGGGCACACAGAGTCACGTGTGAGCAGGTAGCCTCCCTGCCCACTCTGCACGGCTGTCACGGAGAGGGGGGGGGGCACACAGAGTCACGTGTGAGCAGGTAGTCTCCCTGCCCACTCTGCACGGCTGTCACGGAGAGGGGGGGGGCACACAGAGTCACGTGTGAGCAGGTAGCCTCCCTGCCTACTCCGCACAGCTGTCACGGGGAGGGGGAGGGGGCACACAGAGTCACGTGTGAGCAGGTAGTTTCCCTGCCCACTCCGCACAGCTGTCACGGGGAGGGGGGGCACACAGAGTCACGTGTGAAACTTAATCTACAAATTCCTCTTTAAAAAAAAATGCGTGTTCCCCCAAGGCAAAGGTGCAGCCCTGCAATGTCTTGCTCACAAAAACTGCTGGCGTGCAAGGGCCTCCGCCAGAGGGAGCTGTCGTGAATTTGGCCTCCTTTTCATTAGGCCGGCCAGACATCTTAGAAGAGGGGGGGTACCCACACTTTACCCCACCACATGCGACCTGCTGATCGTAGACCAACTGCGGCATAGCTAATCATACTGCCCGGTGGACAGAGGTGGGGGGCTGGTGGGGGCAGTGTTAAGAAACTTGCCCCTTGTTTTAGCTGCCACGCCGGCAGATTGAACCAGCGGCCTCGATATTGTGAAAAATTTAACCAGGGCAGCGATGCTGCCCAGAAAAGAAAAAAACCCTGTAATATTCCAACCCATTACATAAAATCCGTGATCTGGTTCCGTCTGTAAAAGATGTGATTCCGGACATAGAGTACCCTGGCGTCTACAAACTAAGTTGCCTCTGTGGTAGAAGTTACATTGGAGAAACCAAACGACATGTCTCGGACCGCATTCGTGAACACAAAGCAGACCTAAAACACGGTAGGACCAACAGCTCGGCCGTGGCAGATTACTGTTATAATTCAGTAGGCTCACATGACTTTGACTTCTCCAAGACAGAGGTTCTTTGCAAGCCATCTGGCTACCATGAAAGATTCGTTCATGAGGCTATCCATATATTTAAACACAGAGACAATTTCAACCGAGAAGATGGATTCTGGCTTAGCAATCATTGGAAGGATTTGATAAACCATTTCGGGTCTTAATTGATTGTTTACGCTTACGGTGGCTTTCAGACCACATTATTTTTCGTCTCCCCCCTCCTCTTTTCCGAACATAGATGGACTCGTCCATTTGAATAACTGCCAAATCGCTCTCCGTGGTGCTAACGTAAAAAAATGCCACTTTTTTCAAATTTTCTTGCTGTGGTTTTCACACCTGATTATGATTGCTTGTGTTGCAGTCGAAAAGTCATGAGAATTGTATTGTTTTATATTTTTATTATTTTATTGTTTCCCTTCTACGTGACTTTACCGAAAGAACCAAGAATGTAATATTCCAGTAAAAAAATCCTATTGGTAAGTCGAGCTTGGGATAAGAGATGATGGGAAGGAATTCCAAAGTGAAGCAGTGCAAGGGAATAGGCACCAAGATAAGAAGTGTTGTGACCTGTAGTGTGGTGAGTGGGCGAGTGTGTTGTTGTAACCTGCAGTATGGTGGTGAAACAATGTGGCTGAGACGAAACAGTCCATACTGGTAGCCCAAGTCCTCAACATAAGTGGAGGAATCAATGACTCAATAAAGAGTGAGGTTCAGAGGTAAAGCAAAACCACGGCAAGTTGCTGTAGAAGAGTGACGAGGGGGTCGCCGACTGCCGCCAAGCGAGTGACCGGAGTGAATCGGGGAACTGGCAACGCCACCGCGACGGGGCCACACGTCCCCCCAGCTTCCGTACAACGCTTCGCGGGCTTGGTTCAGGTCAGAGCAACGCGCGTCCCTACCCAGGTAATTGTCGTCGTCGGCTTTTCCCGAGTAGCTGTGCTGTCGCACTTCAATGTTCATGCTGCCTGCGGGTATCCTCACCACCTCGTTGTACCCTGGTGCACGGCAGGCAGAAGGGGCAAAAGTCATGCAACAGATACACACCCAGATTGAAAAGTCATTTGTTTTAGAAGTGATTTTTGTGTCTAGTTTGTTGTCCTTCCCACGCACCTCCGATTAGCACGGTTAGTGACGTACGGTACGAAAGACGTTCAAAGTACGTACATATAAGCATGCTATTACAGCATACAGGGCAGCGGAGTGACGTCTCAGCTGGTCCTGGGCCTCCCTGTCCCAAACCATCGTTGACCATTGTGGTGAAGTCTAGTCCAACAACTCTCTTGACAAACAGGGAGTGTGTGTGTAAAGGTTCCAATGGTGATGTAGAGATAGCATAATGGAGGACAGAACATGTATGCTACACACTATACCAGAATAATCTTCAATACTCTACGCTATGTTATATATAATGTGTTCTTGTGAAAATAGTACATTTTATAAGTGGGTGAAAAATATTTTGAAAAAATCAGGCTCTATATTCTTGGGTCTTTCGGTAAAGTCACGTAGATAGGTTCATGATTTCGACTCAAGTAATTTTTAGTTATTTTGAACCTTTTGTTATGAACCTATCTACGTGACTTTACCGAAAGACCCAAGAATATGAATTCCTGCAGTCACGAAAGCTTTAAGTCAAAATCAGGCTTTACTTTTTGTTTGTTTATTTTACATACACAGTAGTCCCCCGTTTAAAGTTTTTTAATGGGTTCCACGAAAACTGTGAACAGAAAAAAACTGCTGAATTTAATTAACTTCTAAGTTCACAAATAAGTAAAAATCCACTGCCAAAACATAAAACGTTAAAATGAACTAAAGCCAGTCGAGGTATTAACGGCTCATAAATGGGCATCGCTGATTGGCTGAGGACATGGCTCAGTCCCACTTACAAGCGCTCGGATTGGCCGAAATTGGCGCCACCACGTGCACAACGTAAACATACCGCAAGTCAACATTTTTACTTTAGTCGAAGCCATGGAACCCTATGGGAGTCGAAACGTTAACCGAAAAACCATTAACCAGTGTCACTGTTAACTACTGTAATGCAAAAAGTGTGTCCATGTCAACACACTTGGTAGATTCTTGTGCGCTGTGAATTCAGATAGGCCTCGACTTGCAGTCGCATTTGCTTTTTGCGTTTAGTTTGTTGTGCCCCTTCCCCTGCACCTCTGATTAGCACGGTTGGCTACCTACAGTGCTTTCCACATCCATTTATCATGAACGGACAACGAAACATCTGGAAGCCATACAGAAGTAAGCCAGAACTCAGGGGATGGTGAAAGGTTATTAAAAAAACATATAATAAAAAAAGATATATACATTTTATTTAAGAGTAAAACAAAAATTCTAACCGGAACAACCGAATGTTTACAATGCAGTTGTTAATTTTTTAATTAATTGCAGCGTGCCGGATATCTCCCACAATCAAGGAAGGCTTTCCCTCCAAACTTGACCGGCTTCCAGATGTGTCACCGCTTGTAAAGCAACAACAACAACAAAAAGACTCGAGGCTCGCATTAAAAACAGGAAGGAATGACAAGAACACTCGATACCACGGCGCAGAATTCTACTTTGCGCAACGGCGCGAGGGTACTGAGCTCATCACGCCAAACAAGTAAAATGTTAGGCAGAGCCCATCTGGCAGAAAGAACAAAGTTTGTGGTTTACCAGCATTGTCACTGCTTTTGTGGCCACGAGGTTGGCCTGGGCGGCAAATCACAGGACTTGTGGGGGGGTGGTTGCCCTCGAGACACCGCAACAAAAATAATTAATCACGTCCCGCAAACCACGAGCGCGCGACCCTCGACCTCCGATGTGCGGTTCCACCGGCAAGGCGGTCACCACAAACTGCGGGGCACCGGCTCCGTGTTCAACTCAGGGCCTCGGGGCGCATCAAAAGTGCGCCAAACAATCCTTCAGCTGCGTCGCTCAAATGCATTTTCTTCTTCCCTTCCTTTCGTCCGATGAACACGCCGCACACGAGTTGGGCCAATATTTATCTGGAGCCCAAATTGGAACCCTATTTTCAGAGTTATCGGATCGTACCCTGTACGTTACGTACATTGAACTTCTTTCGCAACCGTACGTCACCAACCGTGCTAATCGGTGGTGTGAAACTGTAGTGCGGGTCACTCGTCTGGTGTAACGACTGTGTCAATTAGCCAATCTGAGATGGCTAATAACTTCCTCGTGAATGTTTATGCCTTCATGTCTCCAATCCAGTGATTGCAAAAATAATTATAATATCGCCATGAATAAGAATGGCCTTCCCTATGTATAACAATTATCATAATGTACAACTCTTGTTAGTGCTGTATGATACCATTGGTCATGCGGGTTATTTAACCATATCTCACCGTGCTGGTCAGTGCGAGTTGATGGGGGCGCTGGAGACCAAGTAGTAGATGGGATATCGCTATTAGCCATCGCTGGGGGAATAAAAACTGAGGTCACCAGGCTCACAGCACAGTGCCTCGACCGCTCGCCATACGCTAGCTTTTATTCTCAACCTAAAATAAGGACATCGGGTGGCACTGACACTCGCGGCGGAGACAGAACACAAAAGGGAAGGGGGGCAGCAGGCTTACCGTACTGGACGCTGTTGAAGGTGCCCGACACCGTGTGGCAGGATGAGTTGTCCCCTCCGCACACACCACACTTGTCTTTCCTCGCCTTGGAGTTGAGCACGTGGTCACAGCCAGCTTTCTGGCGGTGAACGGAAAAGGTCACGGTAAAAAGGGGAAAAAGGGGCAGCCCTGCTTTTGCCTGCCCACGCCGTTGCTGGCGGAAATGGCCTCCCGCAAGAGAGTCCCCGCTCGGAGGATACTCTTTTGGCCTACTCTTCAACGGTGGCTACACGCCTCAGAAGAGTGTGGAGCATCCACACTCTTCCAATTACCACACGTGAGCTGCCGATCGACGAACTGAGGCGGTATCCATCAACACTGCTGGAGGTGGTGGTGGATTTGAGAAACTCGCACCGCTGCTTCAACTGCCGCGACCGAAAATTCAATTCAACCGAAGACCTCTCTAGTTTGCAGGTTTACCGGTATTCTTGGGCAGGGAAATTGAGTTTTCAGGTCCATACGGCATACAGCCGCTTCAATACGGGCAAAAACACCCCCAATAATGTTTGTCTGTTTGTGTTTCTCCCTTGTGATGGGACTTTGTAGGATGAACGTTGATATTTATAAGGGGTACGGGGTGACCAATAAGGTCTGAATTGGTCTGTAATAAGGTAAGGCACTGACAAGGGCTGCATCGGGTGGTTTAACGACAGATTTATATATTTACACGATCTCACCTAAAAAAAACCTGCATTATGGATGATATTGGTCGCGAAAGCCTACGAGGTGTAAACTCACTGATAAAGGGTTGAGAGGCATGGGTCCAGTGCGCCGATCGCTACGCCGCCGTGCGGCGCCGTTACAAGTTGAAATCGTCGTGACTGGCGCGTGCGAGCTAAACACTCCCGCGTGCTCACCCTGCACAGGCCCTGCACACAGATGTCGTTGGTGTCTGGTCCACAGGGCGTCCCGTCCATCACGCGGTCTCTCAGCTGGTAGTACGCGGTGGTGCCCGTCACGCGGCAAAACAGCTTGCAGCGGTCCTTCAGCAGAACTGTCCCCCAATGCACCGCGCACAAACACAGCGACGCACGCTGGCCGTGACAATATCATAGGCGGAGTTTGACTTCTATATTTGGGTGGGTGCATATAATTATTTCATTTTTTTGTCATCTTAATGTTAAACGAGCTCTTGCGCTCCCCTCAGGGCAACTCCAACCTGCTCCCCTTTTCTTCCCCCCTCTTCTATTCCTCCTCAACCCTACGGAGGCCATTTTGTACACCCTTAACGTCTTCTATCCCTTCTCCTTCCTCTCGATCGCTCCCTGCCCGTGTCAAAAATAAAGAGAATCGCTCCCGAAACGTCGGCCACGTGAACGGGCGAAAGTGAGTTATTCTCGCCGGCCGGCCAAACGTACTCCCACTGTACTTGGACACCCAGCGCACGGTGGGGGAGAGGCCGTTGATGTTGAAGTGGCGCCCGTCGAACTCGGAGCACTGATCGTCGCGGAAGTCACGGCGGCCTTTGGGGCACGGCTCGGTGCTGCACGAGCGGAAGCGCATCCTCCGCCCCACGCAGTAGTTGCCCCCGTTGCGAGGCCTGAGCAACACGGAAGCCACGTCATCATCACCACCATCATCATCACCATCATCATCACCACCATCATCACCACCATCATCATCACCACCACCACCACCGTCATCACCACCACCATCATCATCATCATCACCACCATCATCACCACCATCATCACCACCACCATCATCATCACCACCACCACTACCACCATCATCATCACCACCATCATCATCATCATCACCACCACTACCACCATCATCACCACCACCACTACCACCATCATCACCACCATCATCATCACCACCACTACCACCATCATCACCACCATCATCACCATCACCACCACTCTACTCATCTCCATCGCACACACTCTCCACACCAGCCACCCTGCAAGGCATTGGTCCAATTCTCCAGCTGACGTTCGCTCCGTGTGACGTTGCCAACGCGCGAGTGACACCGCTGAGCGCGGCGACCCGGCGCGGTGTGGCTCACCGGCGAATTTCCGGTCGCACCGCCGCCACCGCCGCTGTTCAGCACAGCATCCAAAGTTTCGCTCCGCCCTCGGCACAACCCCAAAAAAAGCACGCCGCTCGGAGCGCCACACCGCACACAACCAAGTGGCAAGCACGACGTCTCCACGCAGCGGAGAGAGGGGGCGGTGGGGGGGAGGGGAGGGGGGGGGTGGCACGGCGGCGGGGGGCACCTACTCCGGCTTGCCGCAGTCGCGTTCCGAGGAGCGGACGCCGCCACCGCAGGATCGCGAGCAGGGCGTGAAGGGCCCCCAGGAGCCCCAGCTGCCGTCCACGACACGCGCCGGCGCCTCCCGCGCAACGCACATGCCCTGCACGCAGTGCTGTCGGCCACACGCGCGAGCGGCCACACACACGCGCGGATACACCAGCGGACACACACCAGCGGACACACACCAGCGGACACACACGAGCGGACACACACCAGCGGACACACACCAGCGGACACACCAGCGGACACACACCAGCGGACACACACCAGCGGACACACCAGCGGACACACACCAGCGGACACACACCAGCGGACACACACCAGCGGACACACACCAGCGGACACACACCAGCGGACACACACCAGCAGACACACACCAGCGGACACACACGAGCGGACACACACCAGCGGACACACACCAGCGGACACACACGCGCGGACACACCAGCAGACTCACACGAGCGGACACACCAGCGGACACACACCAGCGGACACACACCAGCGGACACACACCAGCGGACACACACCAGCGGACACACCAGCAGACACACGCGAGCGGCGCCAAGCACCAGTGTCAGACGGCTGGACGCTCGCGGTGACGGCGGAGAAGTGCCGGTTTTGTTTTTATTCGGATTCCCCCAGTCAAAAATAAAATGTTAGAGATTTTATTTCAACGACATCCTCACCGAATAGGAAATGCAATTCATGTACATTCATGCACAACGGCAACTAAATGCGGCCGCATCTCCAGACAAAATCTTTGTTTAGGCTGGAGGAATCCGATGAGCTATGAAGCTCTTTTTCACAGATGTCCAGGCGGTGTTCACAGATGTCCTTCTGCCTGTGCAGCGTCCAAACGCTTCACAGGGGGAAGGGAAAAATACGAGCGATATGCAGGTGAAAGCAAGTCTTGACATAGAACTAGGCCAGCAGCGGAATCTCAACCGTGCAAAGTTCAAGGGGGAAGAGCCTTTCATACACAGGAGCAGACAGGGGAGAAGGAGCGACCTCCTCCCCAGAAAGTGGAGGCCTTCACTGCTACTAGAACAGAGGCCACGTGGCCGGAGAGTTGAGTGAGACGAGAGAGGAGAGGGAGGAGGCAGGGGAGGGGGGGCAAGACCTTGGGGCATTAAAAAGGAAAATTCACAACCCACACAATGTGATATGTACACAAGAGTTGTTCTGGTTTCATCTTCACGAACAAATGAGAATGACAGTAAAACTCATCATACGCCATCGTGGAGGATTCTGGGTAATAATGAGATTGTTTTCCACCGACCCAGCGGTGGGACTGACAAATGACTGTAAATTATTATTACTACCTATGAGTTTGTTAGGACGCTTGCCGCATCGCAACGGTTAGCACGCCGGACTCGCAATCCAAACAGCGGCAGTCCAATCCCATCTCCCGTCGAGGCAGTCGAACCAATGGGTGCAAAAGTGAAAGGGGCATCGGGGGGAGGATTCCCCAGCCCACCCCGCGCCCCACGGTTGAGCCTCCCGGAACAAAGCGGCCGCTTTTGCTGGGAAGGCGCCGCTTACCATAAAGAAGCCGCACTCCGTGCCGTCGGCCAGCGGCATGTGCTGCGTGCGGCAGCCCTTGTGGATGCCCTCGGCGCTCGTGCACCACAGACGCTTGCACTGCTTCTGCTCTCCCCCCAGGTCGCCAGCGCCCGGCCGGTGCAACGCCCATCGCACCGAAGCCAAAAAGGGGGGGGGGGGGGGGGGGGGGGGGCACAACAACGCGTCCCCGCCGGGAGGGTAACAGGCACGACCGTCGGCGGTCGCTCGCGGTCAAATGCGTCGTCCACAGGTCGACGACGGGCCAGCTACGTAAATTATCCACGAGAGGTTTTTGTTTTTGCTTGCTGGGTCAGATGGTGTGAATATAAATGTGTGTCGTTAAACCCGCCACCGCCTAACACGGCCGATTGCTAAGGTTGCGTCACGTGAACTATCACGTGCCGATTCGTGACTAGTTCAGCGCACACCGGTTGCGTGTTGGAGAGTAAACCACCCCACACATTTACAATTCGAGCACCGTGACGTTTCGCCGGTAATTACAACAACCAGCACCATCAGGTGGACAGCATGAGTTGTGGAGAAATATTCCTGTTGAATTATCTACGTACGGAAAATGTCAATTGAGAATTAAAAGATAAGCCACAGTGCGATTGTGGTCATCCCAACCCAACCTATGGACCATACAGCAAACCACTAAACACGGACTGCTCTACTTAGTTCTGTTCCAGGTTTGTTCGCAAGTCGATTTGTTCGACTTCAATTGCAAACACGTTGTATGGCGTGTACACAAAACACGGGAATGGCTTTAAAAGTTGAATAATCTCCTGTAGATTCCGCTGGTTCTTCATGTTCGGCAGATGTAGATGCCACTGGTTCTTCATGTTCGCAGATGTAGATGCCACTGGTTCTTCATGTTCTGCAGATGGAGATGCCACTGGTTCTTCATGTTCTGCAGATGGAGATGACACTGGCTCTTCATGTTCTGTAGATGTAGATGCCACTGGTTCTTCATGTTCTGCATATGGAGATGCCACTGGTTCTTCATGTTCTGCAGATGTAGATGCCACTGGTTCTTCATGTTCTGCATATGGAGATGCCACTGGTTCTTCATGTTCTGCAGATGGAGATGCCACTGGTTCTTCACGTTCTGCATATGGAGATGCCACTGGTTCTTCATGTTCTGCAGATGGAGATGACACTGGCTCTTCATGTTCTGTAGATGTAGATGCCACTGGTTCTTCATGTTCTGCATGTGGAGATGCCACTGGTTCTTCATGTTCTGCATGTGGAGATGCCACTGGCTCTTCATGTTCTGTAGATGTAGATGCCACTGGTTCTTCATGTTCTGCATATGAAGATGCCACTGGTTCTTCATGTTCTGCAGATGGAGATGCCACCACTGCCACCTATTGCGTGGCAGTTGAACTTTAGACTCTCGGTCTGAGCAGGCAACTGGACATACGGACAGGTTTATTCGTATCTCTGAAAGTTCGTAATCTAAACGTTCGTAAGTAGAGTCCCTGTAGTTCCCAGTAATTAGGCAGCCAAATTATCAAAAATAAAACATCTGAATAACACAGATGTGATGTCAGTTCTCCAGTAATTGCCCAGCTTTAGAAAATGTGGCTTATTCATTGGTATACATCAACGGTTTGACACAAGGGTGAAGGAGGGTGTAAGACGCACATTTGACTTAAGCAATCCGACCCAAAAAAAGTGTTCAATGAAACGTCCCTGCATGGCAAGTCGTCGCTTAACGCGCAGTGTTGATGCAAACACGTTTTTGCGAGAATGCGGTTCCTTCCATCAGGGAGCACTTTTCACACATCGTGCCCGTTCTAACGCGGAACACTCGCCATTATAACGAGGTTTCTGAGCAGTCGACAAATAACTACTTTCTAAAGCTGCTAGACTGCGAGCGGTACAGTGATACAGCACGCCGAATGATTCGGTAACACGGCTGCGTACCCTCAGTTATTTATTCACCCCCAACATCTCACTGCGTGGTGTGCGTCATAGGAGTACTACACCGTATCTCGCTAAACTTCACCGTTACATTATTTGTGGGGGCAATTGTGTGTGTGTGTGCACGTGTACGTTCGTGCACATACGTGGTATATGACGAGCGTTCACGTGACACACCTCGCGGCCACTAGGTGGCGGCGACGTTCAACGCAACGGTTTCAAAAGAAAATTCACTCGCTGCAGAGTGCTGCAACGCCACAATTTACGCCTCTCCCCACCCCTTTAAGCGTCGTTTCGCGAACAAGTCGTCACTTTTACGATTCACACCGCCACTCGAGTTGCGTCACCTCAACCCCCTCCCACACGCTCGCTCGCTCACGTCGCTCTAAGGCGTTGTTCATCCTTTCTCGTTATCCGTCGCCTCTCGGCCTTCGCCTCCACCACCACCACCACCAACTAAATAATACTACCCCGTAAATGTCTTTGATTCGCGTCGTTTCGATATTCGTCGTCGCACCTTTCAGGAACTGCATCCCCCCCACCCTGCCCCCGACATAAACCGGGGGTGCTGCTGTCATCGAGTTTCGGCGAATCGTCAACACTCCTCCCACTAACCTCCACCCCCACCCCCCCCAAGATTGAAGGGCGCTAGGGTGACGAGATCTGAACTACCTCGCCTGGTAGACAGCAAGTTGTGGGCTCGATCCCGACCCGTGATGCTTGTATATTTATATAACGAAGCAGGAGGATTTCGCCACAGATCTGGCTGTTGCCTGATGATGCTCGTTGTAATTACTGGCGAAACGTCACGGTACTCGAATTGTAAATGTTGTGGGTTTACTCTCCAACACAATGGTGTGCTGAACTAGTAACGAATTTGGCGGGTTTAACGACACATTTATATTTACGCCATCTAACCCAACAAACCTCTAATATTGGTCACGAAAGCCTACGTGTTCAACTGTGTATTTGGAGTTTGCATGTTCTCCCCAAGGTCGTGTGGATTTTGTCTGGGTCCTCCGGTTTTTTACCCTCCACATTTATTACAATCAACATTCGTTTAGAGTATTTGGCTACTGCTATACATTTCCACGCGATAAGCCACTTCGTTGCGCTATCATTTGTGATCGTCAGATCACGGCTAAGAAAAAGAGCTATGGAGCTCAGCGGGGCCTTACCTGGCAAAATCGAAAAAAAGATAGAAAAACAAATAAATTAAAGATTGGTGGGTGAGGCTGCGTACCCACCATATAGGGGCAGACCTGGGAGCCCGGGCCAAACATGAGCTCGCACTGTTTGTTGGCGTTGAAGAGGTGGCCGGGCATCTGCTTGGGCAGCTCGTACGGCTGAGACACGGGCTCGTCCAGGAGGCACTCCCCATAGCCCGTGCTGCGGGGGGACGCACGGCACCCAGCAGCAGCAGCGGCGGTGGAGGACGACAACAACGACGTCACACGATCAACAACAATCAACAATGACGACGCACGATCAACAACAATCAACAATGATGACGCACGATAAACAACAATCAACAACGATGACGCACGATAAACAACAATCAACAACAACGACACACGATCAACAACAATCAACAACGACGTCGCACGATAAACAACAATCAACAACGATGACACATGATAAACAACAATCAACAACGATGACGCACGATAAACAACAATCAACAATGATGACGTACGATAAACAACAATCAACAACGACGACACACGATAAACAACAATCAACAACAACGACGACACACGATCAACAACAATCAACAATGACGACGCACGATAAACAACAATCAACAACGATGACGTACGATAAACAACAATCAACAACGATGACGTACGATAAACAACAATCAACAACGACGATGACACATGATAAACAACAATCAACAACGATGATGCACGATAAACAACAATCAACAACGATGACGCACAATAAACAACAATCAACAACGACGATGACGCACGATAAACAACAATCAACAACGATGACGCACGATAAACAACAATCAACAAAGACGACGCACGATCAACAACAATCAACAACGATGACGCACGATAAGCAACAATCAACAACGCTGACGCACGATAAACAACAATCAACAATGATGATGCACGATAAACAACAATCAACAATGATGACGCACGATCAACATCAATCAACAACGATGACGCACGATAAACAACAATCAACAACGATGACGCACGATAAACAACAATCAACAATGACGCACGATAAACAACAATCAACAACGACGACGCACGATAAACAACAATCAACAACCATGACGTACGATAAACAACAATCAACAACGCACAATAAACAAAAATCAACAACTACGACGCACAATAAACAAAAATCAAGGACGACGCACGATCAACAACAACAACGATGACGCACGATAAACAACAATAATGACATCACCAACGCTACGCCACTCATCAGCAGCACCGTCGAGTGCAATGTGGGAGGGGGGCGGGGTTCAGAGTTCGAATCTCGGTTGGGGGTTTGTGACTCGGACCCCCCCTCCACATCATCCGTTTCCAGGGTCCATGAAAATAATCGATCACCACTCTGTGCAGGGAATTCAACGGTGAATCTCGACACTCGGGGGGGGGGGGGGGGCTTTTGTGACCAACGCGATTGATAATTGATCTATTGGTCGGATGACGCGAGTACATTGTGTGTCCGTACGCCGTCGTCCCTACCTCCTTCCCACATCATCTCTCTTGTGCTATTCGTTGACCACGGTTGCACTTTATTTTCCGCGCTCTTTTCACTCTGCTCAGTGGGTGTTCGCCCCCGAGGTCGTGACGGGTTTCTGTTTTCATGCCGGTCGCTCGATGCACCCCCTTCCTCCCCCCCGTTCCAGTTCAGTGCCGCAGCGATGCCCACTCTCATTGAGGGCGGACATTGCCACGCAAAATGATCAAATTGCTTGATCGATCCAAAGAGGAACAACGTCAAATAGCGAGCGCGCACAGCTTTAATAATAATAATAATCCTGGGCAGGGGGGTGGCAGGGCACGCTCGCGACAAGGGGGCGATGGATGAAGGGGTGGGGGGGTGAGAGAAGCGACGGATGCGGCAACCCAGGGACGGAGCGCGTCCCAAACGTCTTGATGGGAGTGGGGGGATGAACAGAGCGATAAACCCATCTCGCGTGCAGGTTACTGGGTGGATTGCCGCGTCGTAACATGGCGAGAGGCTGCTGGGTCGGGTGGCAGCAGTACGCGGCCTTCATGCAAGCAGTGGATTGGTCGTGACGGATGATGACGACGAGCCGCCACCATCTCTATCTGAAGGGGGGCAACCTTACTCAAGGAACTCGGTGATGTACTTGCGGCTGCACCGAGACCACGTCCACGGGTTCGTGTTGTAGTTGAGGGTCGGCGCCATCACGTGGAACTGGCCCTTCACGCCCGCCTCCCGGCACTTGTTGTTGTCATCGTGGGGCATGTTAAACCTGGGAGACGACAACAAAGATTCCCCCGTGCAGCCTTCAACAGACCGTCGGGCGAGTGCTGTTCACGAGTAGCGCCTATGAAGGCCGGCACGGTGGCACACGAGAGGGGTGGGTGTCCAGCACCACGCCTGGTCGCCTTTGTCTCCCTCGTGGTGCTGTTCTTACACACCGCGCCAGGTACTCATCTGAGGCCGAGTCGACCTAGGGGAGGCCCAAAACCCGTTCAGATAATCGTCGCCGGTCTTGGCCGTCACCGGCAATCGCACTCTGGTCGCCGGGTTCGTAGTGCAGCGCGCTCACCGCTACACCACCGCTCCACACACACACACGCAAAGAGCGAGGGCACGGGCACAACTAATATAAGATGTGGCTCCTGTGCGTGTGTGTGTTACACCTGGGAGACACGCACAGCGAGAGGCACGGTCAACGATGACACCTTTAGGGGACATGGGCAATACAGATCTAAGCCTCGCGGCTTAAGGGTGGGTGGAAGCTGGCGTACCCAGAGAACAGCCACACGTATGGGGGGATCACACTTAGTGCCGTCATCGCATAGCCACGTCAACGCTCCTGTGGCCACTCGCTCAGGCTCAAAGCCCTGCCGAGCTTTCAAGATTCCCACCGTGAGGCTGGATGCATTACGGCTGCTTGGCCGATCCAGTTACTCAACTACTCAGAGGAAACGATCCAGCGTTGCATTCATTATCTGTACACGAAGAACCAGTCGCTGGTCTCCGAACACTCGTTGGCCTATCGTCACCTCTCACAAGCGGCCGCATTTAGATGCTTTGCAAAGGTAAAGGCGCAGGACTACAATTGCCTGCTCACTCCGCTGCAGCAGAAGGGTCTCCCACCGGTAGACCGCCCCTCTCGAGGGTATTTTGGTCTCTTACACTTCTAAGCTGGTCAGATGTCTTGTTGAGAGGTGGCGGTAACCACACTTTACCCCACCGCACACAACCCACAATCAACTAACCCTGGTGAACCCATTTATACTGCTGGGTGGGCAGAGGAGGGGTGGGGGGTTCAAAAACTTTCCCATTATTTGAACTGCCACGCCGAGAAATCGATTGCAAGCCCAGTATCCATATTTTATATGGCAAGGTGAGATTTTCACCGTTGTACGTGCAAAGGCGGTGTCGCTGTGATTAGCGCGCTGTGCTACCAACCCGGCGACCTGAGTTTGATTCCTGCTCACGGCCAATATCGGTAACAATAATTTGAACGGGTCCTGGGACCCCCCCCCCATCCCCCCAGGTCAACTCAGCCACAAATGAGTACCTGGTGCGGTGTGTAAACATCGCCACTGGGGAGACAAAGGCGGTCGGGCGTGGTGCTGGCCACCCACCCCCTCGTCTGCCGCGGCGGCCTTCATAGGTGCTCGCTAACAGCACTTTCCCCAAGAGTCTGTTCCGGTTATGTGGGGGACCTTTGTCTATAAATATCAAATTACATTCGATAAAGCCATTCAATAGCTTCTGTGGAAGAAGCTTCAGGGTTGCTCTGTAATGCCGCCCGCACAATCGGCAGTGCGGCCAGCGTGCCGACAATGACGCCACTGTCGCACTCTCGCTCCGAAGCTGTGGAAACCCCTGAGCGGCGCACCGCACGCCGAGCACCACACGGAGGTCGCCGCACGGGGGAGAGGTCGCGTCGTCGTCGTCGTCGTCACAGGCGCTCGCGACTCACACGTGGCCAATCTCGTGCGCCACGGTGAAGGCGGTGCTCAGTCCGTTGTCCTCGCTGATGGAGCAGCTGCGGTACGGGTCGCACATCGTGCCCAGCTCGGCCAGACCTGGGGGGCACACCGAGACACTCTCAGCCAGGGTCCCTTCATTTCACCAGGATATGAAGGAATGCGTTAGAGCACATCTTTGTTAATGGTGTGAGATCCCTCTCAGTAATCCTTTTACTCTCCCATAAGTTAACCCCTCCCCCCCCCCCCCATGCACAGGCACTATGGCCGACAATTCTGCCTGCCGTCTGTGAATGATTCGGGAAGTGTTGACATGCCTGTGGCCAGGGACGACGAAAAAAAAACAAAAGCAGGTCTCACCCAAGGTGTCACATTTGTTCCTCGCTCTGCAAATATTCTCACTGCGGAACAAAACAAAGATTGACAACAGACACAGGCGCACGGGAATCAAGCACAGGTCAGCATCGACACCGTTTCCAAGACAAGAGACCCGGTTGCCCTCTCGCGAGGTCACATCTTTTTCTGAGCACCATCTTTGCGCCACAAGCAGCACCGCCACCACGAGACGCGTCGGGACAGACTCCAAAGGAGGAAAACTGCCGCTTGCCAGACGCCTCACCTGCTGCTGTGCACGCAGCCACGAGTGACCCCCCGTCCCCCCCAGTACTCCCACCTGGCTCCAAATCTAGTCTGAGATCCCCCACAGGATCGCCCCCCTCGCCATGTTCAAGATCCTCCATGAACTCGCCACTGGCCTACCTCCCCCCCCTTCCATGTTTCCCTCCTCGTCCCCCGTCTCAACCTCCCCCATCTCCTCCTCCATGTCTCCCCCACCTCCCCCTCCACCCCCTCAGGTATTCTCCACCGGAGCCACCAAGCCATTGGCTCAAAGCCCCCAGTTTAAGACCACCTTCGAGATCCACCGCAGACTCTTCCCCTGTCAACCTGCCTCCCTCTTTCACCCTCTCGCCACACAACTCTCCTTCCTCACAAAAACCCCACACACTCTCCACTCGATAAAAAAAAAACAACAACAACACCCTGACCCCAGCAATCCTGTGAAGGTTTCCCCGGCTTGGTTCCGACGTTGGGGCATTGTGGCCTGGCATGTGTAGACGACCTCGTGGACTCATATAATTATATTTTGCTACTGGCAAAGGAGGTTCCAATGGTGTCTTATGGTTGATATTGTTTGACTTGCATGACACTGGGATTTTTGCACACAGCGTTGTAATACGGTGTGGGGTGGGGGTTTCTGGAAGATTTGCTGGTTTATCCCAGGATGTTTCTGTTGCGCGTCGTCGCTTTAAGATGTTTCTCTGTTCATATTTAGTTTGCTGCGGTTGCACCCGACACAAGAGCCGCATGGCTCACAGGGCTACACCTAATAAATTAAACTTGAAAAAAATTAAACTTTGTTGCGATAACTTTTTGTTCATCGTTGTTCCTGCCTTTTGTTTTGGTGTCATTTCTAAATTTCTTTATATAAAAAAAATATTTGCTGGGTAGTAGTAGGGTTTTCATTTGCTTGGGTAGTGGCTGTATATGGGAAATGGTCCTCATATATAATTAATGTACAGCATTATGAGATGCTATTCGCATGAATGACGTGACATAGATTGTAAGTATTTTTTTATTATTATCCATGCTGTAGACTCCCGGTCCCTGTTCGAGTCCAGGCTCAAGGCCTCTCTCCTCTGCCTCGAAGTGACCGCCTCTCTCCGCAACACGAACACGTCCAATGTTTGTGCACAGCGTCATGAAGGCAGTTGGATTTAGGTGCTGCGTGAATCCACATCAGATGACGCCTTTTGAAATTGGAGCCAAAAAACATTGTGGGGATAAAAAAAATGCGATCATACTCCTCGAGAATCAAACCATAATTCAGATGAAGAAGAGGGAATTTCAGACGACTTCATACTTTAATTATTAAATGGTGCCCCGAACAAAATAACACAAGACCAAGCATCTGCGCCAGATGACAACATTGTAGGCAACAAAAACAGCGGGGTCCGCATCTACTTTCAGGTCGTCAAAAAACTAAAACATCACAAATCTTCATAATCTAATACCTCGTAAATATTCCAATACCCTCTGGACCTCGTTATGTGGCCAGGCCTAAGAAGGATCCTTCCAGAAGAACGGCACACAGGGCTCATAAACGTCTAAGATCCCACGCTCCTGATAACAGCCTCGACGATAAAAGAGTTGGCAAAGCTTGCGTGACATGACCTGACATCACGAGCAGCAGGGGGGGGGGGGGGGGGATTGGGGCCTGTGAGCACGTGGCCTTAAAAGAGATCAGGCTCTGGCTCTCGTCTCCGGTTTGCAGGCACCGGGCGGACAGACGCCTTTGGGCGAGCGAGGGCAGGACCCGGCCCCTGCCTGGGATTCTAACGCGAGCCGCCGGCGGTGATGCCCAACGCCCGGTCGCAGTGTCGCGCGACGACGAGTGGCACGTCGACTCGGCCAGCGAGGGCGGAGGGGGTCGGCCCGCATTGGCGATCCGGGTAAACAAGAAAAAAACCGCACCCGATGCCGTGGCGCGGCAGGGAAACTGGCGCCGTGAACCGGCAACCCGAGTTCGAGTCCTGGGTCGCAGCCAACACCGATGGCGAGCGATATCTGAACCGGTTCCCGGTCCACCCATCTCTCACGGGCCACACCAAACAGCATCAAAAGAAATGCTACGGCCGACACATCGTTGGAAGGCCTCCATCAATCAGAGGCTGGACAGAGGCCCGCAACATAACTGTTATGATTACCACTAAAGTATCCAATGGGTAAATAAGGCATAACCAAGCCGAGTGTATAGTTATGATCAATCGATGGGCACGTATGTACTTATGCTTAACTTCTTTCGCACCGTACCTAGATAACCGTGCTCATCGGAGGTGCGGGGGAAGGGCAACAAACTAAAACACAGTAAATTAGTTCTTAAAGAAATGAGCTTTCAATGTAAGATGATTTAAAAGTGCATAAATATCAAGCGACTTCCTAATATCGGAAGGAAGATGCGTTCCACACGATGATGCGGTGCTCGCGTTCCGTTTGACGGCTTAAACAGAGGAACGCCGCAGAGCCTGGCAGCTCGCGCGCAAGGCCATGAACCCCCCACACTCGACGAGGAAAGAGCGGAGAAACAAAAAAGCCGGCTGACGGAGGCAGGAGAGGGCGCGTAGACGCGGGGATGACAGCCGCGCGTGAACACTGCGATCAGGAGAGTCTTTCACGGGGAGGAGAACCGTGTGAGGTGACCCACGTACGGGGCGGGGCGGGGGGGGGCACGCAGAAGATGCCGAATGGAACAGCGGCGCTCCTGCTAGAAGTTATCGGCGTCGTCCCTCGCATTGGACACGTTTAAGGTTGTGTTCTGAAATAATAATTGGGATAAAATAATAAACAGTGGGAAATTTCAGGAAAAGTACACATTACCTTGGGATAGAGTCAGTAAACCCAAACATATCTTAAACCAATTTTTTTTTACTCTGGCCTTCAAAATATTTTTTTACACAATTATAAATTACGTAATTTGCTGTACTGCTTCTGGCCTCTCTCTCCCTCTCTGCGCTGTGAAGAAGGGTCATGGCCCAAAACGTTGCCTACTCTGTACTTTTTTTATTTTAATGGCACGCACGGCACGTGGTGTCACTCACGGAAGCGCCCAGTTTGTTCTGTTCGTCACCACCACCACCAAATCATCCGTTTGATTTTTTTAAAGATTATGATGATTTTCCTCTGGTCATGGAGATAATTAAAGGGGAGGAGAGGGGGAGGAGGAGGGGGGAGGAGGACGGGGTGGGGGGAAGAGAGAGAGAGAGGGAGGAGGAGAGGGATGGGGAGGAGGAGGAGGGGGGAGGAGGAGGAGATAAAGGGGGAGGGGGAGGGGGGAGGGAGGAGGGGGCAATGGTGGTGAAAGGGAGGAGGGGGCCCAGCTCCCTGAGCTGTGCATTAGGCGGAGATATCCAGGGCGACGCTGGACAGCGCCATCTCGGCTCGGCACGGCTCGGCACGGCTCGATCTCCAGTGGAGAGGCATCACTCAGCGGGCAACTTAGGCAGCTCGGATCATAAACGTGGCCCAGATTAGTCCGCTAGTTCGAGCGTTTGTGATTCGAATTTGTTATTTTATTTTTCCACGATTTCCATCCCGGGCCCATCGTCTTCCCGTGAATATTAAACTATGGACGCGGTGCAGCACATCGGAACGGGCCATTAACAATTGGGTTCACCGCACGGTCTGCGATCGCCACCCCCCCCCCGCCCCCCCGTCAGGTACGATCTGGGATTGTACGGATCTCGTTAAGAACGAAATTAAATCACGCGGCGAAAAAAACAGCCGGAAGTGGGGTAGCGGGAGGCAAATTGGGGGGGGCGGGGGGGGGGGTCGTGACAGCTCGCATCACGTCAAGGCCAGCGGCAGGAAACACGCCGCAGGTGGGAGCGGCGGCAGGCGCACAGCGACCACGTGATCGAGCTGCACTTGCGAGTTGCTGCGACCTAGACATCGCGATGTCTACACGTATAGCTCCCTCAGCTGTGCATTAGGAGGATGTATAGGATGTTTACGCGCATAGGATGTTTACACAAATAGGAGATTTACATGCAGAGGATGTTTACATGCACAGGATGTTTACACGCATAGGATGTCACAACCTGCTCCACAATATATCTGCAGCACAAGCCTATGGCCAAAACTAACCTGGAAACGAAAAAACGGCTTTTAGAATATACCGGATGTGGTTGTCTCGGCTCAAGTGAAAGTAAGAATCTCGTGCAATCATTCCTCAGCTGAGTGGAAATTTGTTTCAACTTCGCTGCCGTGTGTCACGTGACCTGGCACCGTGCGTGACGCCAGAGATACTTCCGGATCCTCTCCAATAGGCCGCTTCACGCACGTTAGGAGCACGCCGTTTATACAGAGAACGTCCATTGCTGTCCAATCAAAACGAACGTTTGCCATTATCAGAGCTTGAAACGGCTGACTCAACCTTAACATCAAACACGATGGGATTTGTGCAAGCGTTAGTTAGCGAGTGGGCCGAGAGAATCGACCCTCGAAACAAATTTTGTGAACCGGGTTCGTACGTACGTATATTGAACTTCTTTCATGCCGTACATAGCCAACCATGCTCATCGGAGGTGCGGTTTAATCACGGGCGGCCGAAACGTCGACGAACGTGACTACAGGCTTCCGGAGCGGGGCAGCAGCGTAGTGCTCCGACTGACGCGTGGCACAACCCACGGACATCTAAACACCGCCAAGCTGGGAAGTGTCCCCACACCCCAAGGGGATGACCTTACGATCTCCGCCGCCGGCTCGGCGCGAGCGCCTCAAGCGGCCCTTCTAAGCGCGGCTCCGCAAGCCCGGGCGACGGGGGGGGGACACGGCGGCGGTCAACGAAGGAACGATGATTGCGAGAAAAGAGAGGTTTACCACAATAATGGAATACCGAGTGATGAGCACAGCCGTGTCGTGATGCGATGGGTGGCTCTCGTCCTGCGTGTTCTGCTTCTGCTGCCAGACACAGAAGTTGCTCAGCGTGGACGCCGCGTTGAAGGTCACCAAGGGGCCTTCCTGAGAACAACACGGGGCACGCACACGGCGGCGGGGGGGGGGGGGATGGCGGCAACGCGGCGTTACTGAGCAGCAGGGCTCGCTGGCTCGCTCTCGCGGACGGGGGGGAATAGAGAAAAAATTAAAAAATCATCAATAAAGACATTATAAAAAAGAATTACGTATTTTTTAGATGGGCCCACCACGTGGCATCAGTGGGAGTGCCCTCCCCTGCGTGACACCATGGCAACGTTTGGCGCTCGCCGGAGGCGTGCGGCCCGGCGGCCGAACCGCCCAGCGACGCGCCACATCGAAATAAACCGCGGCCGGGAAGCCGAGCGACGGCGTTGAACCTGGGGGCGTCCAGCGCTGGGTGTGGGTGGACCCGCGCGTGTTAAACCAGGCGCTATAGAGTTGCGGGCTACGTCTGGGAGCCCCCCCCCCATACTCAACGAGCGCTGGGGCAAGTGAGTGGCTCATCTCCGCTGGCAGTGTGGAGTTTGTACGTCCGGCACACACCCCCCCCCCCCCATTTCGACATCGTCCTTCTCCGGTATCCAATCATCGGGGTACAGATAATGCACGCACCTGCTAGTGGCCAAACCACGTCCCTGGATGCCGAAACATTATCTGCAAATTGCTCGGTTCGGGATGACGCAGAGCAGCGACGACAATAATCGCCCCTCGACTGAAAACGCTCGGCGAGGACCCCCCCCTCTCTCCTCCTCCTCCTCCTCGCTGGAAAAATAAATTAAAAGTGTCTCGAGACTCGGCGATGCTTTCCCGGGTGGTACGCGAAATCGTAGCAAACTTCTTCTTAGCGTATGGCAAAGTCCGTGTAAATCACACGTCCAAGTTAAAGGCCTGCGAGCGACGCGATAACTTCGGGAGCGGCCGCGACTAACGCCGCTCGGTCCGCCGGAGAGCGCGGGCGTGGGACGCAGCTGCTCACGATGCGGCGGTAGCGTTTGTCCGATTCTGGTGGGTTTGTCTTTGATTCTGCACTCGTGGAGAGGAGGAGGAGGAGGTGTGTGGGCGCAGCGACCAGTTGGCCGTTTCATGTAAAAAAACAGTGCTTAGCGGGTAGTGAAATGTCCACATTCCTATGGGAGGAGCTGGTTTTCCAGGTCTCCAGGACAACCACACCCCATATAGAGCACAGTTCGAATATAAGCAACAAATGATTACATTACACTAGTGGGCAGGGGGAGGGAGGAGGGGGAAGACCAAGGGTAATTTCGGATACAAGCACACTACTTCAGATATAAGTGCAGCTGGCCTTGCTCCCAAGGGGGTGTGCTTACATCCAGCTTCTGCTCTATTCATTTTATCAACCGTGGAGAGATGATGAGCTGTATCAGCCCCGATCAGGATTTGAACTTTGAATCTATTTAATTCAGAATCAAATAATCGCACAACTATCAAGGGAAATTTGTGCGTACAATTTGACTTCTGTAAACATCAACATAAAAAAACCCTAACACAATAGCGTTGCTTTTTTATCATCAGTTGAGTCAAAAGATAAGAAATACACGTTACGAATGTAATCACAAACACTGAAATGAATACCAAATCTGGAATCAATGATAGACCAGATGACAGCAAAAAAAGACAAAGGCACTGCCAAAAAACTACTCGCAAGCACTTGGCAGCAGCAAGAGAGAACAGAGAGAGAGCGAGCGAGACAGAAAAAAAACACCACTCGAGTCTGGAGCAGCACAGCCAAGTGTTGGCAGCAGTCCCCGCGGACACAGAGATCAGATTTACACCAAGTGTCCTCTTGACCTCTGTTTACTGTTTACCGGGGAGCTCCGGGCCAGATTTGCATTACGGGTAATAATTTTTTTTGTCATCCCGATAATTTACTTGATTCATCAAGTGTGTGTGTTAAGTCAAAAGCAGCCGTTTAAAAGGTTTTTTTTGCAGAATTGCGGATTTTCACATCATTTATGTTGCGGAACAATTGTGCAATGGTGTCTTGTGCCCTCACAAAACGTCCCTCGCCCGATTGCCACGAGGTGCCGCATTCGGTAGTGAAAGCGTGGAAAAGGGTGACGTCACGTAGGTGGTATCATTTCCTGTGGTGTCTTGCTTCCGGATTCAATCCAACACCAATTTTTTTTCAGGATTATCGAAAATGTAATTTACAAAGCCAAATTTTCTGAATTCTCAGATTACTCCTAAAATCGGCAACACATCCATAACAGGCTTATGGTAGTTGCTAAACTAAAAACTAAATTAATTGTATTTAACCAGGTAAGGCCCACTTGAGCTATAGAGATATTTTTCAGAAGCGACCTGGCCATAAATGATAGTTTAACAAAGTGGTACATCACGTGCACATTCATAGCAGCCAAATACTCTAAATGCGTGTTTCTAAATGTGGAGGAAAATCCACACGACCATGGGGAGAACACGCAAACACCAAATATACAGCAGCAGGTGTCAGGGTTGGGATCGAACCCACGACCTCCTACATACCAGGCGAGACAGTTAACATCTCCTAGCCACTGATGATGATGAGAGATAGACATGCAAACTCCAAATATACAGCAGCAGGCGTGAGGGTTGGGATCGAACCCACGACCTGTATACCAGGCGAGGTAGTTAACATCTCCTAGCCACCGTGGTGCCCTGAAGTAAGATGAGAAGAGGAAGATCTTGAGGGCCTGCGCTTGAACGAGTATGGAGCGAGCAACCCGGATAACAAGGGGAAGGGAATTGCAGACACCAGTGTGGCAGCAAAGGGGAAAAGGGGGCAACCTCTCACCGAGAACAAAGTTGTTTGGGGGGTTTGACAGAAGCCCAAGTTGCCGAAGCCGCGAGTGTGTGTGCGAAGTCGTGTGCGCATGCAAAGCCGCGAGTTGTTTGCAAAGCTGCGAGTGTGCAAAGTCGTGCACAGTGAGATGAGCGGAGAGAGGAGGACAAGGCACAGCCCACGAAGGATATTCAAGGCAATTCATTAAAAAGAGAGGTTTTTCTGGGACAATATCGTTATCCGCTTTAATTTTCAATTCACGAGAATCTCCGGCACATATCCTTCACAGATAAAGAGAGGACACTGCATCCCACCTTTTGTCATGAACATCAGATATGAATCACAATGCAATCACACCGCCGTCTAATGCAGCACTTACCCTTTCATTGTGAATGATCATGAGTTTCACAAGAACAATGTTGATTTGGTTCCCCACACTGGGATGCTTGTATATCGAGGCAACCTGAAACACACCACACACACACAACACGAATGAACTGGGTTCGTGAACCCATCTGTGCAGACCTCTGCCGTGTCATTCCCCTGCAATGTGGTGCAAGTTATCTGCACGTACCCCGCTGCTTTCCTCCTATAAGCAAAGGCAACTTATTCTTGGTTCTTTCGGTAAAGTCACGTAGAAGGGAAACAATAAAATAATAAAAATATATTTTTTTGTTTTTGTTTAAACTGGTGTTTTTTTTAAACAAACAGGTGGCTTGTGAACAGGAGTTGTTTTATTGTTTCCCTTCGACGTGACTTTACCGAAAGAACCAAGAATATGAATCCCTGCAGTCACAAAAGCTTTAAATCAAAATCAAAGCCAACTTCTTACGGAGCCAATTGGCCAAACATTCGTAACAAAAAAAAAAACCTCATCCGAGGCCAGTGTGTAGCTCTCCTGGGAAAAATAATTTTTGTTGTGGGAGCCTTAATGTCAGTTTTATTTTACGGCGTATGGACTAAATTTTGATTTAAAGCTTTCGTGACTGCAGTAATTCATATTCTTAGTTCTTTCGGTAAAGTCACGTTGAAGGGAAACAATAAAATAATAAAAGATATATAACATTATTTTTTATTGGCGTATGGACTGTTAAACTTTTTTTTTTAAAGAACATTTGCATGCAAAGTCTAATGCGATAAACGCGAGGCTCCTGAATTACGAGGGCTGCATGATGGAGGAGCCCAGGGGAAGCGGTTTATGCAACGGAATCTCTCCGGCGATCCTGGAAACAGCGCACTCCCGCGCCCCCCGCACTCTAAGTTCCCTCTGCCTGGGTGAGCTCCCGGCTCAACATCTGCCCTCTCTCTCCCCTGCCTGCGACGATCTTTCTCCCCGAAGTTTCCTCCTCCAAGCGAAAAGCCACTCTCGACTGTGTGGGGTCGGCTGCTCGGATTTCATCCTCTCCCGCGAGCTTCGATTCTGCACCTCTTCTCCTGGCCACGTCCACTGCCCTCCCTCGCTCACTCCACCGCATCCTCCCCCGTCTCAGCCTCGGGACTCTCTCAACTCCAGCTGCCCTCCACCAGTAGCAGCGCCACAGCCCTTCTCATCCATAGATTGCTGCATTTGATGTCAGCCTCTGTGCGAGTCAATTGGACTCGAGTCTAATTTACCAAGCCACACGTGGGTGAGCGTCGTGCGACGGAGCGCGCAATAAAATAAATGCACGCGATGCTGCGTCGGTGGCGGTGGGCAAAGACAAATGACAAAACCTCAATGTTGCTCTCAAGAGAATTAAATATATTTCATTCTCGGGCATGGCAGCCATGTGGTTCAGCAGCACAGTGCCGGTGTCGAGGTCTGCTGCTGCTGCTGCTGGCCATGACGAGAGGGCTTCAGGAGAGAGAGAGAGAGAGAGTTGGAGTCGTTTTGCTGTTCCTCCTCCTCCCACATTGCAGGAGGAGTGCAGGCCGCGGCGGTTCACTCTACGGTGTTGGTTGCGTGACCACCAGTGGTTTGTCTTTAATTCCCCCGTTCGCGGGGGAGGGTCCCGTGCTGGTGAGAGAAGCGGCGGCCTCGCTCACGTTGCCGCCCCCCCTACCCACTCCCGGCACCGGTTTCCGCGTCACCTTTTAAAAAACCCACCGACAACCGACTCCACCATCCAGGCCAAATGGACGGCGTTAATTAGAACAGACGCATGCAACCGGTGGCATACACGGTCGGGGGGGGGGGGGGTGCGGAATAGTGAAGAGAAAGAAGAGGAGGGGCCCGAGGAGGGGTCCGAGGAGGGGTCCGAGGAGGGTCGACTCACGATGGACACGAGGGTGAGCACGTAGTGCTGCAGGTTGTGGCCGTGGTGCTGCACCATGCGGGCGTCGGCCGCCACCATCACCTCGACGTGGCGTGGGTACGACAGGAACCTCTTCCTCCTCCTCCTCGCGCGGCCCGATCGCGGCGGCGGCGGCGGCGACGACGACGCCCGCTTGCCCGGTTGCCTTCGCCCGCCGGGCCCGCGCGTCGCCTGCTGCCGCTGCTGCTGCTTCTTTTCCTCGGCGGCCTCCGAGGCCCACGGCGAGGGCTCCCTGCGGCCGCCTGCCGAAACGTTCGTCGCTCTCGCGGAGACGATGGCGGTCGCCGCAGAGCCGAGCCCCGTGCCCGTGACCTTCAGGGTCATCTTCTGTTCCACGGTGGCCTGCCTGCTGTGGCCTGCAGTGGAGGAGAACGGCCGTCACGAATACGCCTCTCAGCCTCTCTCCAGCACTCTCCACTCATCTACATCCTTCTCCACTCTCTCTCTCTACTCTCTCTCTCTACTCTCTCCACTCTCTCTACCTCTCGTCACTCTCTCTCTCCACTCTCTCTCTCCACTCTCTCTCTCCACTCTCTCTCTCTCTACTCTCTCTACCTCTCGTCACTCTCTCTCTCTCTCGGAGTCTTAAACGCCACGTTTTTGCCTGCATTGGATGAATCCATGGAGATGTTAGCCAGGGCGGGGCGGGGGGTGAGAGGGATATTAAACAACATGTTCCCGTGTATGTCTTTCTGTACCAAAGGACAAGAGGAACCGCGTGCTTAAACGATTGTGACCCACAACACAGGGCGATCGATTTGTTGATTCCCCACTAGAACGATGGGGAGAAGTTACAGAGGAGACAACGACTTCCTTCATCACTTGAACAGAATTCAATCAGCTGCTTGCACAGAAAGTAAGAGGTTAGTCAGTTTAACAAATAGGCTTTCGAGCCCAATGTTATCTATTGCGTAAATATACGTGTCATTAATCCTGCCACCAACCGACACAGCCAAATAATAAGGTTTATCATTCTAGATTTAAAGCTTTCGTGACTGCAAGGATCCATACTCTTTGGTTCTATTCGGTAAAGTCACGTAGATGATTTTTGTTGTTTTATTTTTTACCTACGTGACTTTACCGAATAGAACCAAAGAGTAAGGTTTATCATGAGAACGTAACATTTGTGAACGTAACATTTAAGAAAGAAACTGGGGGATTTCTCCACAAATATGTCTGTCGCCTGAGAATGCTGGTTGCTGTAATTAGTGGCGAAACGTCACGGTACCCAGATTGTAAATGGTGAGTTCACTCTCACACAGACAGCGGTGTGCTGTGTGTTGTGACGAGTTCACTCTCACAGTGGTGTGCTGTGTGTTGTGACGAGTTCACTCTCACAGCGGTGTGCTGTGTGTTGTGACGAGTTCACTCTCACAGCGGTGTGCTGTGTGTTGTGACGAGTTCACTCTCACAGTGGTGTGCTGTGTGTTGTGACGAGTTCACTCTCACACACACAGCGGTGTGCTGTGTGTTGTGACGAGTTCACTCTCACAGTGGTGTGCTGTGTGTTGTGACGAGTTCACTCTCACAGTGGTGTGCTGTGTGTTGTGACGAGTTCACTCTCACACACACAGCGGTGTGCTGTGTGTTGTGACGAGTTCACTCTCACAGCGGTGTGCTGTGTGTTGTGACGAGTTCACACACACAGTGGTGTGCTGTGTGTTGTGACGGTGTTCACTCTCACAGCGGTGTGCTGTGTGTTGTGACGTGTTCACTCTCACAAACACAGCGGTGTGCTGTGTGTTGTGACGAGTTCACTCTCAACGTGGTGTGCTGTGTGTTGTGACGAGTTCACTCTCACAGCGGTGTGCTGTGTGTTGTGACGAGTTCACTCTCCCACCCACAGTGGTGTGCTGTGTGTTTTGGCGGGTTTAACGACACATTTTTATTTATGCGATCCGACCCAAAAAAAAAACCTGTTATAGAAAGTAAGAGGGCACATTAGATCCTGGGGGGAGGGGGAGGGGTGTATCTATAAATGGATCACCATGTGTATTACATTGCGGAATTGGCTTAGTATTTGGAGGCCATACACGAATGGGAATTGCACTTGGCTTCATGGTGCAGTGCAAGGAACCCACACACACGAGGGTGGTGGGTGGGGGGCAACACTCGGTCACCAACGAGGAAACGAACCCACTTGCTGTGCTGCCACCATACCTTGCAAAGGCCAGGAGATGGAAACCCTTGATGCCCGCGGGTAGAGAAAGGAGTTTCACGAATGTGTGTGTCCGCATGAGTGTGTGGGTGGGGAGCGGTAGTGCAGCGGTTAGCACGCTGCGCTACGAACCTGGCGACGCGGGTTCGATTCCTGCTCACGGCCAATGCCAGTGAAGATTATCTGAACCGGTCCTGGGCCTCCCCTTGGCCACCCAGCCCCTCGTGTGCTGTGCCGGCCTTCATAGGTGCTCGCTAACAGCACTTGCCCCTACAGTCTGTTAAGGCTATACGGGGGATCTTCGTATTTTTCTAGTGTGTGGGACTGTGGGAGGCTCGTGAATTTACCAGTAATCTCAGTCGGCCAACTCATGGCACCTGGGTTTGTCCCAAGACGTCCTGTCAGCGAGCCTTTGACACTTTACGTGGCCTCAAAGTGCACCTGGCCTGGCACAGGCGCCGTGGTGACGTTACCGTCACTTAGTGGCGAATGTCGCGGTGTTGGTAGTGGTGCGTGTGGGGAGCGGGGGAGTGTAGCAGTAAGCGGATTGCGCTACAAACCCCGGCGCCCCGAGTTCGATTCCCGCTCACAGCCAACACCGCTGAAAGCGATTATGTAAACCGGTCTTGGGCTTCCTCAAGGTCGACTCAGTCTCAAATGAGTACCTGGTGCGGTGTGGAAAACATCGCCACTGGGGAGACAAAGGCGGTCGGGCGTGGTGCTGGCCACCCACCCCCTCGTGTGCCATGCTCGCTAACAGCACTTGCATCAATAGTCTGTGAAGGCTAAATGTGGGATCTTTGTCTTTGTAATCCGCCAACCGTCGCCACCAAGGTGTTGGATGAGAGGCCTTACGGAGCATAGCCACCGGTGCCTGGTAATCGACCGAATTTATCGATTCAACTTCTTCTCATGGAACACTTCCCAGAGCTCACATCCCAAGCCGGACGGCAACTCCAGCCGGCACCCTCCCCCCCCCTCTGCCCTCCTCCGCCCCCCCCACCTCCCTCGTGCCCGCAGGTGACCGACCGCGCCTGGAGGTGCAGCTCTTACCCGGGACGCCACACACCTGGTGGCTCGCGGCCTCCGTGGCAGTGGCAGTGGTGGCGGCGGTGGAGGCGGCGGCCAGCGCGTCGCGGCGGTACACGACGTGCGGCTTGCTGCGCTCGTCCTCGCCTCCCGCCGGCAGCGCCGCCTCCGCCTCCTCCGCCAGCAGCAGCGGCTCCACAAAGTACTCCGCGTCCCCCGTGCGGAACGTCCCGAGCTGCCGAGATGGGGTGGGGGGGGGGGGGGACACGCGGCACGCCCACGGCGCTTCACCTCCACGGCGCGGGCTGGCGGCGGCAGAGGCCTCGCACGGCCTTGCAGTAAATAATAATAATAATAATGTTGTTGCCCTTTGAACTTTGCCAGTAAAAGGCTGGCCGGGTCTCAAGGCCCTGCTTTGCTGCTCTCGACGGATGTCGACGTGGAGCGGCCACGTTGACGAGCGGCGCAGCGCTCGCCGGCTCTCTTCCATCGCTCCACGGGCGGGTCGGTCGCCTCCCTGTCGTCACTCTTGGACCGCTACTCCCGGTGGCTGCCATTCCCCATAAAGTTCACTCATCGATTCCTCCGCCCAAGCCAAGGACCTCGGGACCTATCGGACCGACTGTTTCTTCTCATCCACTCCGCGTTCGACCATCACCACACCGCAGGGTCGCGCAACTCGCTCACAATCGCCCACTCGCTAATCCGCTCACCCGCTCGCCCAACCCACTCTTCCCCTCGCACCACTCCAACTTTGGAATTCCCTCCCATAGTCTCTTTCCCCAAGTTTTTACGGCCTTGTTCAATCCAAGAAACGCTTCTTATGCTTATCCATTACACCTGGTATACTGCTGTTTTTTGGTTCCTGGCCACTTGGCGTTTCGTGCTCTTTGGATCTGGGCTCAAGTTCACTTGCGAGGGAAAAAAGCATCTGGAGAAACTCCCACACACGTGAGATAGGGAAAAGAGCCATGTTCTGAAACCGGTAACGTTTCAAAGTATTTCTTTTTGGTAAAGGGCGAGTGAGTAAGCCAAGGGAGACCAAGAGAGGATCGTTGTGAGAAATAAAAACGAGAATCTCGTCCGAAACGTGCGAGGAACAAGCAGAGCATCTGGAGGAAACCCGCACACACACGTGAGAGGGGGAAAACCTATGCTCAGAAACCGGTAACGTTTCAAAATCATATCCAACAAAAAAGCCGAGTGAATAAGCAAAGGGAGAACCACGACAGAGAACGCAAACAAGGTCGGGAAAAAATCATGATGGAAGAGGAACAGGATATCATCATATTCTTGGTTCTTTCGGTAAAGTCACGTAGAAGGGAAACAATAAGATTATAAAAATATAAAACAATACAATTATCACACCTGATGATGATTGCTTGTGTTGCAGTCGAAACGTCGTGAGAATTTTATTGTTTTATATTTTTATTATTTTATTGTTTCCCTTCTACGTGGTGACTTTACCGAAAGAACCAAGAATATGAATCCCTGCAGTCACGAAAGCTTTAAATCAAAAGATATCATCGGTTTTAGAAATTAAAACGAAGAATCTCGTCTGAAACATTGCGGTGGCGTGCGCTGGAGTTGGGCGGTGTTGGGGCTGGCTCTGGGTTGGATGGGAGCGTTATGCAAGGGCGGACACAATTGTCCCCCGTTTGTGTCCCATCGTGTAACTGGGTTTCTTCTTGGGCTTTGTGGTTTGCTCGAGCGGTTCCACACCAGGTTCTCACGTAGTTATGTTTTCAGAAGCGACCTGGCCATGACAAATGATAGCCCAACGAAGTGGTTTGATTTTATTTTGATTTAAAGCTTTCGTGACTGCAGTGATTCATATTCTTGGTTCTTTCGGTAAAGTCACGTTGAAGGGAAACAATAAAAAATAATAAAATATATATAAAACGATAAAATTCTCACGACGTTTCGACTGCAACACAAACAGCCATCATCAGGTGTGAAAAACCAACGTCAAGAAGTATTTGAAAGAAGTAAAACCAACGGCTTCTTGCCGTTGGGTTTTCACACCTGATGATGGCTGTTTGTGTTGCAGTCGAAACGTCGTGATAATTTTATTGTTTTATTTATATTTTATTGTTTTATTGTTTCCCTTCAACGTGACTTTACCGAAAGAACCAAGAATATGAAGTGGTTTGGGTTAAGCAGCCAATCAGACGCATGCGAGGAGGTCCCAGCACGTGGAGCGAACGGTGGGACGTTGCGCCGAGCATCACAACATCACGCCGAACAACACCGCAGGTACAACAGTCGCCTATTGTCCTGCTTCCCCGAGCCCCCCCGACGAGGGAGTGTATGCTTCTCACGCTTTGTTTTTTAAGGCGTTAACAGATGCCCCCCCCCCCCACCCCCGCCCCACATCCTTCAAGCACCAAACGAACGCAAAGCGTTTAAGGTAACGAACGCAACGCGGGAGAGATCCGATTAAAATACGGGAAGGAACCATGGGCAAACAACCTCTAGCGCTTACTCCAACATGGCCCAAACGACACCTTTAATAATCCTCCCTCCCTCCTTCCTCCTCCCTCCTTCCTCCTCCCTCCACCCCCTCCCTCCACCCCATCCCTCCACCCCCTCCCTCCACCCCCTCCCTCCCCACTCCCTCGTCCTCCTCCCTCGGTGGAATTTACATCGAGGAGCCAGCCGGCGGAGGAACCTGCCCACCCAGGTGAGAAGTGGAGGTCGAACTGGGAGTGTGACCAGAGGAAATGGAGAGGTGCAATCCAAAGTGTTCACAGCTGGAACTATTTGTTAGAATGTTCTCAGCGGCCAATTTTTTTTTCCCTTACCCCCTCTGGGCGGCCTGACTTACGGCACCTAACACCACGTTACTCACTCACCTCTGCGAGGACTTCACAACCCCCCACAGACAAGGAACTACCCACCAATCTTGCCCTGTTTAGGATACTGCACTTGGGTCGGTGCATAAACAGGGCAGCTGCAATGGCCGGCTCGCTGCGTTCCTCACACTTTTTCTATTTTTAGAATTCTTGACGGGCTTACTGAATTTGGGGCTTAGCGTTTTTTGGTACGCTTTCACCGAATCGCAGGAATTCCGACCGTGTCTGCCGCTTTGGCTCGGGCGGCAGGCCCGTGGTAGTAATTTAAATATTAATGACGATCGCTATAATTGGCGTTCTCGCTATTCGGGCTCTCACGTTTCACGGCGTGGCGAACGCAGGCTGTGCCGTCGCAAGCACAGAATGGAGATCGCACGTTCGTGGCCACGACGTGATTGTGTATTGTTTCTTTAAGTAATAATTATCGTATGTTATGGAGAATTGTTTTACGCAGACGGAATGGCAATGAGATCGAATAGTGAGAGTACATGAATCAATTGCGAAAATATTGACTTCATAAATAAATGACATTAACTTATTTATATAGCCTCCTTTGGCCTTCCTTCCATGATATTAGCTCTGTCGGTAATATTAACTCAAGAACTGGGCATTGGATACTCTCGGTTGCATCCAAATCTGCAGATTTTTAACTGTGTAACTTAATTCGCCATTCCCCCCCCCAACCCCCGTTTCTTGTACGTATAATGTAACACCGCCATTTTAAGCAACACGGGTAATAAAATAAAACAAAGACACCCTCCGAGAAATTAAAACAATTGCGGTGGTGGGCGAGTTGATGAGACGAACTTCGATGCGGTGGCAGCCTCGGGCAAACGGTCCACACCGCCCATGGCTTGGGACCTGAATTCCATCCCCCCCACCTCCCCCGCCACCGCCGTGGATGCCCATCGCCAAATACGGACACGGCGCACTTCTTAAGTGGTGTTGGCGACAATAGAAGCAGCAGCGGGAGGAGGAGGGAAAACAACTCCGCAGTTGGAACAGGAATGAACGAGAGAAGGAAAAAAAAAACCCTGCTCTACCTAACATGGAGATCAGCGGCGGCCTCACGCTGGCGCGATGATTTTCGTTTGCCGGTTGTAACGCTCGGGTGGCGTTTACACCTCCAGGCTAAATCTCCCAGGAATCGGAATTTGCGTTGTAATAATAACACCGTAACAACGGAAGCCTTTGTGCCTTCTAGTGATGCAAGCCCCGAGTGTAATTATGAAATTCTTTGCACCGGTCATGCCAGCTTTTTGTTTTTAAACAGCTCATGAAGGATTTATATGAGCAATGATCCTGGTCTGCAACAATTTAAATGTCGATAATCAAAATCAGAATATGTATTTATACTGGAGGAATCTGATAAGCTATGAAGTAACAAAAAAAATCATAATTCTGTGCGCCAGATATTAAGAATAGACACAGACAACGAATCCAAGCTACTAAGTTAGGTCAGCTACAGGAAAGCGAAAATATATTTTGGACACGCGACCAGGATGAACGGGGACCGTGTGCAGAGAGGGTGGCGACGGGGGAATACTGGAAGGTGGGCGCCAAACTCCAAACACGGGATGGGATGAAAGCCATCTCGTCAGTTGAAAGACGCCACTGACGGACAGAAGTAGAGAGGCCGTGGCGAGGAGATACCGGTGAAGGAAACGGACATGTCCCAATTGTCCCAAAAGGCCGAGGGGCTAGAAGAGCGGTGGCCAACCGGCATCTCCCGAGCCACACGTGTCTCTGTCGAGGGGACGTAACGTAGAACGTGCCGTCACCGTATCAAAGAATAATGAACGTCTCCTGTGCTGTGCCGAAAACTGTCCATATATACACACACACTTATATAGATATATGCACTTGGCTGTTTGCAGGAGTAATGGGTTACTTTTTGGCTCATGGTCTGTCACAGTTTGGCCACCCCTGGACTAGAATAAGAAGGAGGAGGCGGCTTGCTTCCCCGAGCTCGTCAATGTGAGCTCATCCCCTTCGGAAAAAACCCCTCGGTTGACGAAGGGCAGCGGGAGCAAGTGCCGGGCTACACTTACGAGTCCAGTGCAAAGGCTGAGGACGGCCGTGAACTCGGGCTGAGCGTTCACGTGCCCTGTGTAGAAGCAGCTCCTCACATCCTCCTCCTCCTCGAACGCAAAGTCCCCACCGCCACCACCGCCGCCACCGCCGCCGTCCGCCGGCGTCGGCGCAGCTCCCCCAGTGCCGTTCCCAGAGTCTGGCCAGCCCAGGTGCGTGACGTGAAAGCTGGGTCCCACGAACGACGCGTCGGCCGTGAGCTGCAGCCGGAAGTCTTGCCCGAACGCCACGAGGCGGTAGTGGGTCCGCGCCGGGAACGGGAGGGCGCTACGCGGGCTTCGTTGCCGCCATCTGAAGTGGGCGTCCGCCGGAAAGGGTTCCCCAAACTCGTTGAGGCGCGTCGGGGTCACGATCTCGTAGCTGCTCAGCTGCTCCAGGAACTTCTCTGCAGGGCGGCCGAAAAAACAGACAATGCCAGTGAATACCACGACACGGAGTGGGAGGAGGAGGATGAGGTTTTCTCAGCCGGTGCTACGATTAACGATCGATTTTTTGGGGGGCTTAGGCCAAGTAACGATCTGACCAAATCTACATGTCGCCAGGTCCTCATTTAAGGCTTGGTCAACCTAGGAGGGGCCCAGGAACGGTTTTTCCCTCCACATTTAGAAACATGCGTTAAAAGTATTTGGTTCCTATGAATATCCACGTGATAAGCCACTTTTTGAGCTTTCATTTGTGGCCAGGTCTCTTTGGAAAAAAAGAGCTGTATAGCTCAGTGGGCCTTACCTGGTAAAATAAAAACTAGTTTAGTTTAGATAATCGTCACTGGTGTCAGCCGTGAGCGGGAATCGAACTCCGGTCCCCGGGTTCAGAGACCAGCACGCTAAGCACGACACTCCTGCTCAACCCCGCTTGTAACAAGACACAGAGGCAAGGGGCAGCAGCAGCATGTAGCCACACAGCATGATATCAGGCAAATGTCTTGCATATGATACTCATGCACAGCCATGTGGTTGCATCCACATTAACATGGTGTTTTTTTTTCTTTTCGCCCAAGCCACGCAGATATCCAAGCTGTACCGGGGGTCTGGATAGTGTCACATTAAAGGGGAGCTGAAATAAAAGTAAACAGGGAGAGAGTTGACTGGGCACAGACTGTACACTGCTGAGACCAGCCATCTCCGCCATTCCTTTACTGGTGATGATGTCATTACATTTAATTTTTGGTCTTGTTGAATCCCTTAGAGATACCGTGGCATTTAATTTTCCAAGTAAATACAAACTCTATAGTTTCAGGAAAATGAGGGAAACTCGTGACAAAGTCCAAAATTGCTATCAAGAACCGTTCACAGTCCTGCCTTCTATAATTACTTGATGTAGGTTGTGTTACATAAAGATCCACCGACTTGCATCATCATCTGACGTGCCGGAGGTGTCTGTGCCGCACGACCAGCACGAACTGACTGCATGGCCGAGTTTTGGTGCAATCTCTGGTAACTGGTCCGAGGACATTAACTCACTCACATAAGACACCGGTTCAATTTACGTGCAGTTGCTGCCTGGATTCGAACTCAGGTTTTCAGAGGTCCCACGTTCAGCACTCTGATCTCTGACTCACCCAGAAAACCTCAAGTCATTGATAAAAAAAATACAGACATAAGTTTTGCCGTCGTACAACAGCTCCCTGGCAACTATCCAGCTGGATTTACTCAAACGTAGACATTTTGAAACTTTGAGTCTATTGTGTATGCCAAAATGTGCTCTTAATATTAAACATAAGAGTAATCCCAGCATGCTTTGCATGTCAGGATGACCTCATCATTCTTGCGCACAATTCTGCACACCCTTGTGACAGCAACGGCAGCGTGGCACCGAATACTTCCTCGAGCACAATCAACATGATTGTTTTTTCTATCTACGTGACTTTATCGAAAGAACCAGACAGTATGGATGGGTTCCTGCAGTCACGAAAGCTTCAAATAAAGATTCACACAATCAACATATCTAGTATCCAAAATGATTATAAATAAGAATAGGTTTTACCCTTTATGGCAATAAAACAGCATAGTTTAACACGCAGGCTTTTGCGACCAATGTTATCCATGAGATGTATTTGGGTTAGATCGCATAAATATAAATGTGTCATTAAACCCACAGCCAATTAGTAAGGTTTGTCTCAAGTATGTGTGGTTAATGCAGGCTCGATTCCTTGCAAAAAGGTATCTATTTGTTGCTTGAACATCTTAACACCTGTTTTATTTCCAGAAAAAGTAAAACCTATTTTTATTTTTCATCATTTTGGATACTGGCAAAAAGATGCCATAGATATAACTGCTCGACCCAAGCTATGAGTGTTGTGATACTGGAATTGTCTTTTTGCTGTTCACCTTTTGGCGTTCTCTGGTCTAGCACTGGTGATACAAGGCCGTAAAAGCAGTCTGTCTCTGATCTAGGCCAATCAAATTTTAAAATAATGCATGTTTTCAGAGCATGTTTGTTTGAATGTTTTGCCACAAGTATGTGTGGCTAATGCAGACTTGATGCCTTGCAAAAGTTATCTATTTGGTGTTTGAACATATGAACACCTCCTAGTTTTATTGCCAGAAAAGGTAAAACTCTATTTTTTTTTTTCATTCAAAATCTCTCCTGCACGGTCTCCACGCCCTGCAGCCTGAACCCTCCTGAAAGGCTCTCAAGCCCTCCCCCACACAGGCGACAGGCTGAGAGAGATGTCTAGGGTAGGGTGGGGGCAATGGGAGGTTTGGGAAATGTGGTGTAGGAGTTGTTCTGTCCGTGCCATTAATGGTCTCATTTGGAGCCCCTGTACGCAGCACTATTGCTCCGTCATGCAAGATAGCTTAGTCTGGCTTCTTTTGTTGTTGTAACTACTTAATTGGTTCATATCAAATTATGCTGCCAGTTCAGGATAATGCATGCCCACAACATAGCACGATGAATGAGGCCAGCAATAATAGGTCGGAGATCCGAGCAGGAGGAGGCAGGGAAACCCGGTCCCGCTTGGAGACAGCCGTGGCTCCTACCCTTGTCTGCCACCTCCCAATTATGTCATCCAAACTGGCGGTCACCCACGGCCATTGTGGACAGATCTATTCTGTGTGTGAACACACACACACAGTCTACTCCATATCCAGACACTCTCTAGAAAACACGATCTGGCTGCACTCCAGAAAAGGGCATAAAGACAAAGACTTTGCCTCCTGCTGCCGATGTTCTGGTCACTCTTCCAAGCCTTCGACATGAGATGATAAAAATCACGCCGATTATTAAATCCGACGTAATTTATACAGGGTGGTCCAAAAGTCAGGACGCATCGAGATATTATATTTATTTTAACAAATCACATAGGGTTTTTTAAAATGTTCTTTCCATGTTTAAATGTCATCTGAAAATAATTCAGAAAAATAAGTATTAACATTAATAACAGTTAAAATGTATTTAAAATGTTTACCCTTAATAGTCAAGCCAAGCATTTACTTAGATCTTGATATATCTGCCAACCGAACTTTTAATTTGTGATTTTTCTGGTTGTGTCAAAATTTGGAGTACAAAAAGTCCAAACTGTTTTGTGTTTGGCGCCTGGGCCTTCAATGATTGATTGTCAAATGAATCAAAGACGCCGAATAGAAACACCAACATTAGATTTGAATTTTTTTTTTATAAATAACAACGTAAATTTTGCACCGGCCAAATTTTGGAAAAATTATTTTCTTTTAAAACCTACGCACACAAAAAAACGAGTGTATCCGAAGGTTATAAGGGTGCATCTCAATCTCTCGTCTACGTTTTGGAACAGTGTGATGTTAAAGCCATTACTCTACAAAAAGAGGTAAAAGCCAGCTACCAGCTTCCAGCTACAAGCTCATCGGCTAACGGTGGAGTTCTTTTGTTGTTGATGGAGCACCCTCATATACGCCAGGGCATCTCGGGGCAACGTTACTCCACAGTCTCATCTCAACACGTTTGAAAGAGGCATCTCCCCAGTGGGCAGCTGTCCTTGTGTGGCACGAAGTGGATCGAGACCCGGCCTGCCAACGGGCATCAGTCTATATCGATGGGACACATTTTTGCCAGTATCAAAGTATATAAAATAAGAATAGGGTTTATACCCTTTTTGACAATACAACTTGTGTTAAGATGTTCAAACTCCAAACAGATACCTCTTGCAATGAATCAAGTCTGTATTAACCACACGTACTTGTGGTGAACATGCAAATAAACATGATTGTGCCTGTACACAAGAACCACTGATAATATATGTATTGTCTTTGTACTGTTCGCCTTTGGCGTTCTCTGGTCTGACATTGGTGAGACTAGGCCCTAAAGAAAGCTGTCTCTGGTGTAGGCCAATCAGTTTCATCACAAGTACGTGTGGTTAATGCAGACTTGATTCCTTGCAAGAGGTATCTGTTTGGTGTTTGAACATCTTAACACCTCTTGGGCGTCAGTCTGCTCCCATAACAGTACCGCCAGGGTGACAAGGGCACACCACGGTGGCTAGGAGATGTTAATTACCGCTCCAGCTATGCAGGAGGTCGTGGGTTAAATCCCGACCCTGACGCCTGCTGTATATTTGGAGTTTGCGTGCCTTTCTCATCCGTATCACGGTGGCTAGGAGATGTGAACTACCTCACCTTGTATGCAGGAGGTCGTGGGTTCGATCCCGACTGACACCTGCTGTGGTCGTGTGAATTATTTTCTCCGGTTTTTCTCTCCACATTTAGAATCCACATAAGTGTAGATTATTCGTCTGCTATAAATTTCCACGTGATAAGCCACTTCGTTGAGCTATCATTTATGGCCAGATCGCGTCTGAAGAAAAGAGCTATATAGCTCAGTGGACCATACATTGTTAAACAATACATACTTTATAGTTTTAATTAGTTTATAGATTCCATAATATAAGTTTTTTTTGGGTTAGATCGCTTAAATATATAAATGTGTCGTTAAACCCACCACCACCCGACACAGCCAATTAGTAATGTTTGTCATGTAAACAGAACATGCCAATTCGTGACGAATACAACACACCGGTGTGTTGGAGAGTAAAGCCACAACATTTACAATCTGAGTACGACCTTCATTTCTATATTTGCGTGATCTAACCCAAAAAGAAACCTGTATTATGGAAGGTATTGGTCGAGAAAGCCTACGTGAGAAAGCCTACGTGTTAAAGTTTATAGATTTCTGCTCCGTACAATCACAATCCTGTCATTTGTGGGTAATTTTCGAACGTGGCAATTGTGAACAGAGCCTCGTGACAAAAATGGTACCGCGGCAATCTTCGTGGAGACGCGACGCACTGCGCCATTGCAAAGTGCGGCGACGACCAGGGCGATGTTCACCAGGGCGGTGTTCACCAGGGCGGTGTTCACCATGGCGGCGTTCACCAGGGCGGTGTTCACCAGGGCGGTGTTCACCAGGGCT